AGAGGGGGGGGTGGTGGGAAAAAACCAAAAAAAAAAAAAAAAAAAAAAAAAAAAAAAAAAAAAAAAAAGGGGGGGCTGGAGCACGGGAGGGGAAAGGGGGAAAAGAAAAAAGAAAGAAAAAAAAAAGAAAAAGAAAAAGAAAAGAAAAGAAAAGGAAAAAGAAAAATGGAAAAAAGGGAAAATGTATTAAATTTAAGTGTGTTTTCCAAAAATCTTTGGGGTGTAATTATAAATATTGAAAATGACTTAAAGTCCCTTAATTAATTATGAAAATCAAATTAGGCACACTAATAATCCACAGTTTAGTATAATTAAACATGTTTAATTCTAAAGGGCGTTACACTCTCTCTCTCCCATTTTTGTCTCAAACCAACAGGATTTCAAACCAAAGAAAGATTTCAAGAAGTTTTCAACGCCTAGAGAAGGATTCGAGATAAGATTTCTGAAAAACTTATCTTGAAACTCAGATTTTTCAAATTTAAAAACTTATTTTTAGTTTGAAATAGATTTTTCAAATTTTGAGTAAAACCATGGTAGAAATTAGAGATCCTTGGTTCTATGGACTTGATTTAGTACTTAGAACCTAGATCTAGTGGTTTTTCCTTAAGATATTTCGAATTGGAACTGAAATTGCAGGTTTTCAGACTGATTTTGGCGAGTTCCTCGCCCTGTTGTTCTCCACAGGTCGACCTGTGCGGTCGACTGGACCGGTCGACCTATGTGGTTGACCAGACTGCACTGATTCCACCAATCGACCTATGCGGTCAACCGAAGTGCACACCATCGGTCGACCGGTGGTGTTGCACCGCTCTGCCACCGGTCGATCGGTATACATGGGGTTTGACCCTATTTTGTTGAAAAACCCTGTTTTGACCTCGATTTTCGAGGAGAACCCAAATTAGCTTCATTTGGGGACCTAAAATGAATGGATTAGGTTCTTTAACCCATGTTTTGAGATTAAAAACCCTTGAAATGATGATTTGAAACATGAAATGGTTTGTGAAACTGGTAATTGAATTATGACACACTAATAGGAAATCGAAGTGCGTAATTGGTATTGAATTGCTTTAGGAATGAGAATTGGATCCTAAAGTGGGGTTTTGTATCAGTGCTAGATGAGGACTCGGATTAAAGGGCTTTGAGGAAGCGAAAGCCGGAATAGTGTAATGCTAGCCAGGTTTGGTACTTGTGAGGTAGGATTTCTTATCCTTTCCTTTGTGCGCCTGTTTTCAAAAGAATTTTAGCCTTGCAAATGGTTTAAAGAAAGAGCATGTTTGCGAAAGAAAAACATTTTTAACCCCCATGGCTTGTTGTAGTTCTGGGGAGTATAAACCGGCTGATGGCCTAGATAGGATGTGGAGAGTGCATCCTTGGGAGCAGGACCCGAAACCCGGCCCGGGGTGATATGGCTTATGCATGTGGTTGTGTAAGTAATTTATCATAGTATAAATTACTTCCTGATACCTGTAATACGGAGATTTTCAGTTATATATTCTTTGAGAAAAAGGATGTGAGGTTTTGGCTGTTGTGTTAGGACCGAATGTCTATATTTATTCATTTACTTATCTATTTATTTACTTGTTTACTCATTTATTTGCTTATTTACAAAGTTATTACAAAATATATCATATTGGGCTTTTCGCTCACGTTTTATATGTTTTATAAATATTAAACCCCTCACAGGTGACTCGAGGAGTAGTGCAGAGTAGCTGAGTGAGTTGCTACCACTGGATTTGGTGAGGATTGTGATCATCCTCCATGTGCACGAATGTAAGGATTGTAACCCCTGTAAACTCTAAATCTCTGGATTTCTAGACTGTGGTTGATGTCTATAATGTTATTTACATGTTCATGTATGTACAATACTACATATCTTGTGGGTGAAGCCCTGAACGGTGTCAGATGCTTATTTATAAACCTCTTGTATTCAGTAATTTATTTTCAGTGAAATGTGGGGCTCGTTTGGAAATTTCCTTAATGTTTTATTCTTAATCGTGTTTAACTCCTAATCGAGCCTCCACGTCACCGACCCATACCTCGGGGCATGACAAAACTCGAGTTCAAACTCAAATTTTACAAAAGAACATGAACTTGAATAAAGTTGTAATTCGAGTTTAAACTTTTTCTGAGTTTTGTTGCAAAAGAACAACCCCTAAATAATTAATAGTTTTTAAAACTAAAATATTTAGGTATTTTTAAATAAATCCCACTATTTATAAGAAATTAAGCTTCAAAAAATGTGGTGAAAATTCAAATAAAACAAGTTTAAAATCTCACCTCTGGCATCATATACCTGAACATAAACAAGAAAGTAAATGTTGACATTAACCACAGTCTAGTAATATTTGAGTTTACAATCTATAATTTTATACATGCCTTAAAGAAAATGGGTAGGGAAAAGAAAGGAACGTGCAAATCTTCACTTCTCAGAGTCAGGTTTACCTCACCGCTAGTAGCTACATATTCAACACTACTTCTTGCGTCACCTGGTGGGGTTAAACACATTTAAAATAATAAAAATGAGCGAAAGGCCAAGTAGAATATACTTTTAAAAAAATTTAATAATTAAAAGTACTCACGGTCTGAAGACATACACCCGAAACCGATCATCCTTTAAACAAAGGAAGTACTTACATAATTGTAACAAAACATCTAAATAATGAAAATATGCAAAGCCATAATATCACCACTAATCAAGAAATGGCCCGTACGGATTTGGGACTTGCCCCCAAGTATACGATTCTTATTTCCCGATATCTGTCCATCATGCATTTTATCACTTTAAGAAAATATTCATATAAATATCTCTTAAAACCTTATTTAATACAATGAGAGTTTAATAGCATACGTCATGTTATTTCCTCAAAATAATTTTTCTTTAAATATGTTTGTTTTTAAAACATTTTCATATGCCAAAATCATTTAAATCATGGCTATCAAGGATATGAACAAGAATATCCTACCTCTCAGATGTCAAACCTGTGGCTAGCCTTTTGTTGTCCTAGCCTCCGCTTTCCTTAAAGCTTTTAATCTGATCCCTCAACTAGCATTGTCATAAAACAACGTTTTAGGACACAATCTTCATTTCTAAAACAAATCAAGTTCAATTATGTCTAATTGTTTTTTATTACTGTGTCTTGACTCAATCTAAGTTTAACAAACAACTTTACAATTCAATTTGGGGTTCTTTAAAATTGAAATTCAATCCATTTGTTTGGTTTTCCCCCTTTGAATTTCGGCTTAAAACGAGTTTTTAAAGAAATTTCGACAGCATGCCAACAGAAATGAGGAAAATGTCAAATCTGCAATTTAAGTTTAATTCCAAAACAAATCCTCCAGAAATCATTAAAATCAGTTTCCAATCACTTCAACAAATTCAATAACTGAAAATCCTCAAATTAAATCTGATTCCAACAACAATTTGTCCAAATCTAAACCCTAACTCAAAATTTATCAAATCTAATCAAAATTACAAATTTCCAAGTCAATAATTCAAATTAAAGTATGAGTTTTCAAGAAATTCTTACCTCAAAGTGATTGAAACCCATTTTTTCCTCTATTTCTCTTTTTTTTCTTCTTCCTGCTTCGGCAGGAACCAAAAGAGAAGGAGAGAGAGAGCCGGGGAAGAGAGGGAAAACTAACGGGAGATGGAAGGGGAAAGGTGGCCGGCAGCAAGAGGAGAATGAGAGAGAAAAAGGGCCAGCGGTGGGAGAAAGAAAAGAAAGAGAAAAGAGAAAAAGAAAGGAAGAGAAGAAAGAGAGAGAGAAAGAGTCTACAGGGGGAGGAGAGAGAAGAAAGAAAAGAAAAAAAAGAGAGAAGGAAAATGAAAAAAAAAAGGAAAAAAAAAAAGAAAAATACACTAAAATTAAGTGTATTTTTAAAAACTTTTTAGAGTGAAATTTTTAAAAATAAAAGTAGGTAAAACTTTTATAAATAACCTAGAAATGAAATTTTTAATGACATGATTAATTAATAAAATTAGTATTATGCATACTAATATATCACAATTAATATGATTAAACTTACTTAATTCTTTGGGTTGCTACACAAAACAAAAGCTAAAAGAGTTTTTCCTTTTTCTGTTGTTCTTTATAAAAGAAATAAAAATAAAAAAAAAATTCTCTTTTCCTTTATAAAACGACGTCGTATCGCGCTGTATCCATACTCCCTGAGATTCTCTCTCTCTCTCTCATACAAATGAAAAGGCAGACGATAATGGAAGAAAACAAAATGCTGTGAAACTTGTTCATTTAATCGAACAGGTGCAGATTGCCGATATTTTCAAAACCCGATTCAATTTTTAACGAGGTAAGTGCCTTAAAAAATACTTATCAAGCTACATAAAGTATTGATGATTCATTCAATTTTCCATTTTTTGTTCTTAAATCTGATTTTTTTCTAATGAACAATCTAGTGATTCATTACATGCTAATCATATATTCAAATGGTTTACCTGACTAAATATGGGAATCATTCATAATTTCCTCGTGCAAATTCATGAAAAATCACCAAGACCTGGATCTCTTTTTCTTTTTTCTTTTTTTAGGTCAAATTTTTTTATAATCCTCAAATTGGTTTTGTCCTGCAAACGATCTTTCAGAGAACGTAAGATTTGAGGACTTGATATATATTTTGTGGTTTTTTTAATGTAAAAAATAATAATAATGAAAAGAAAAGGATATTGTTGGTGTTTTCATTTGTCTATGAAAGAAGGAAAGTACAGTAACTTTTTAAAGTTGCTTGGACAAAGAGTTTGTGTTATTGGGTCTGTTTGTCTTTGGATTTTCTCTTAGTTAGAACTTTTTCTTTTTGTAAATTGAGATAGTGAATCAGAATCACCCATTGAATTTTATAGAACTCCATTGACAAAAAGAAAAAAAAATCTTACACACATATACGAATTAGTTAGTTAGAAATAAGTGTGAAATTGTCGCTAGGATAAGCTTGTATCTGCAAGTAGCTGTAGAGCTTCATTGATCATTAAACAACAAAATTGATCTAATGGGAGGAGAAGGAAATAGGCTTCCTCCAACATATAGTGCTTAGAAATAGATTTTAATTACTTGCACAACCATAGTTTATCTCTTTTAAATTTAGCTGAAAACTGGTTTTTTCAGTTGTAAACAAGCTTGGTCGGAAGCTAGAGCCACAGGAATTGAAAATGCAATGCAGTGATTCTTCCAACGAATCAAAACGGTTTCGAGTTCGAAGATTAAAGCTGTTGGACAAAAACAAGGATTTTATAGAGTTGCTGCAGCAGCTAACAGTCTATGATTCTGTGTTCGACAAGGAATTCGAAGAGAGATTTCAAGAGCTCGGCTCTCTTGGAGATGATCATTTGATTGGTGTTATTGAAAATCAGTCCGGAAAGATTGTTGCAACCGGGAAACTATTCAAAAAACAGTAACTCGCCCTACCTTCTTTAGTATTATAGTATAATAGCGCTGGGTTGGAAATAGCCTGAGGTTTGCAACTACATCTTCTAGATATGGAATTTATTGTTTCCTGTCTAAAATACTTAAGTCTAGGGTAATTTACATAATTTTAAGGGATAAAATCATTTTAATACCTTCTCTTATAGCGAAACATTTCGTTAGTACCAAAATTATTCCTCAATTTTAATACTCTCATTTTTTCCCTCTTTCTTGCCTCTTAACAAAATAATGTTTTGAGAATTATATGTCTAACTAATATATTTTGAGGGAAAGACATTCAATAAACCTCAAATATCATACATAATTAATGGCCATAACAAATTTCTGTTTAAAAAGTTAACAAAATCAAGATGATAAGAGAAAAGTTGATGACATATCTTAACTCAAGGTGCACAACAAGTGCATTTTAAAGTTCAAGGGACATGTTGACATAAATGACAAAATTTAAGAGAATTTATAAATATTTCCGTTAAAATTCTTGACAAATTCAAATGGAGGAAAAAAGTTCAAGACATGTCATAATTCAAGGGTATAACATGCACATTTAAAATTTAGAAAGTAAATTAACACAAGTGATAAAATTCAGGCAAATTTATAAAATTTTTCCTCATTTTAAGTGTAATATGTGGAATGAGGTGATTCTAACATATGCAAGTTTATTGATCCAATAATAAACCTTCGTTCTAAGACACCAACTACCCAATTCCATTGCTTTTAAAACATTTACTGGAGCAATCTCACACTCGCAGGATTAAACCTCAATTCAAACATAATATTTTTCTAATAAAAATTTGAATTTTTGCTCAACTAGGTCCAAACCTACGAAAAGAATGGCCTTACACAATTTAAGAATACAATTTAGGAAAGCAAAAGCAAATAAATGATGTTTAAACAAAACACCAAGAGCTAGTACTTTTGCAAATGAATGATATTTGATATAATAAGAGCCAGTTCTTTGCAGAAAATACGTTAACGTTTTTTCTTTTTTACGCAGAAGTTAATCCTTGTCAAATGAAGTACTTCACCATCTGAATTTCTTTCTGCTTGAAGCCACATTTTTCATAGAATGATCTATTCTCAATGCTGCAGTCAAGAATCACCTTGTAACACCCGACTGAACGGGCATGATCCGAGAGGAATTCAACAATCTTCTTTCCCAGTTGCATCCCACGAGTGCTGCCATCGACCACGACATCTTCAATGTGCCCGACTTTGCCACAATTCCTTATGAACTTCTTCTCAATGAATACACTCCCAGTTGCAACAATCTTTCCGAACTGATCTTCAATAACACCAATCAAATGATTATCTCCAAGGGAGCTGAGCTCTCGAAATCTCTCTCCGAATTCTTTGTCAGACACAGAATCACATACAGTTAGCTGTTGCAGTAGCTCTATAAAACCCTTATTTTTGTCCAACAATTCTAATCTTCGAACTCGAAACCGCTCTGATTCGCTGGAAGAATCACTACATTGCATTTTCAATTTTGTGACTTAACTTCTGACCAAAGCCTGTTTACAATTGAAAAAACCAATTTTCAGCTAAATTTAAAAGAGATAAACTATGGTTGTGCAAGTAATTAAAATCTATTTCTAAGCACTATATGTTGGAGGAAGCCTATTTCTTTCTCCTTCCATTAGATCAATTTTGTGGTTTAATGATCAATGAAGCTCTACACCTACGTACAGATACAAGCTTATCTTAACAGCAATTTCACACCCATTTCTAGCAATAACTAATTTGTATATATATGTGTGTGTGTAAGATTTTTTTTTTGTCAATGGAGTTCTATAAAATTCAAAGGGTGATCCTTGATTCACTATCTCAATTTATAGAAAGAAAAAGTTCTAACTAAGAGAAAATCCAATGACAAACAGACCCAATAACACAACTTTTTGTCCAAACAACTTTAGAAAGTTATTGTACTTTCCTTATTTCATAGACAAATGAAAACATCAACAATATCCTTTTCTTTTCATTATTATTATTTTACATTAAAAAAGCCACAAAATATATATCAAGTCCTCAAATCTTACGTTCTCTGAAAGACCCAAAAAAAAAAAGAGGTCCTGGTGATTTTTCATGAATTTACACAAGGAAATTATGAATGATTCCCATATTTAGTCAGGTAAACCATTTCAATATATATCTAGCAAGTAACGAATTACACTAGATTGTTCATTGGAAAAAAAATCAGATCTAAGAACCAAAAATAGAAAATTGAATGAATCATCAATACTTTATGTAGCTTAATAAGCATTTTTCAAGACAAAATTTCAATTTCTGCTCTTACCTCGTCAAAAATTGAATCGGGTTTTGGGAATATCGATAATCTCCACCTGTTCAATTGAATGAACAAGTTTCACCGCACTTTGTTTTCTTCTAGTATCGTCTGCCTTTTCATTTGTATGAGAGAGAGTGAGTGACAGAGAGAGAGAGAGAGAGAATCTCAAGGAGGGAAAGTGGAAATGAAACGTTACGTATATTGGGGCCCAATTTTTGTTTGGGGGTGCGGATACGGCACGAAACGACATCGTTTTACGGAAGAAAAGAGAGATTTTTTTATTTGTTATTTTTCTTTTCTTTTCTATGATGAAGAACAGAGAAAGGAAAAACTCTTCTAGCTTTTGTTTTGGGTTTTGATGGCGTAAGATATCCATCCATGGCATCGTCGATTCTCCGCCGCATGACGTCCCACTTCGCCGCGCAAATTCGACAGAACCACAGACTCCTCAGCTTAAGGATAAGCCTTTACTCAGACAAGTTTACATTAGGAAGAGTAAGATGACTTAAGAGGAGTTAGAAGTTTGTTAAGCAAGATTGTTAGTTAGCTTGTTTAATAAGATTGTTGTTTAGTTTGTTATGAAGATTGTTATGAAAGATTGCTAGTTAGCCTAGTTAGCTTGTTAAGAAAGTTTATGGATGTGAATAAAAGGAGGAGGGCACGGTTAGAAGTAGGAAAAGGTTTCAGTAATTGTACAAGGAAAAATCTTGGAAACATTTCCAAGTAAGGGATGCCATGAAAATGTCAATACAACGAATTGCAGAACTTCGAGGGTCCGTGGCCTCCCCTACTTGGAAATGTTTCCAAGGTTTTCCCTTGTACAATTACTGAAACATTTTTCTACCTCTCACCGTGTCTTCCTCCTTTTATTCTCATCCCTAAACTTTCTTAACAAGCTAACTAGGCTAACTAACAATCTTTCAAAACAAGCTTCATAACAACCTAAACAACAATCTTATTCAACAAGCTAACTAACAATCATGCTTAACATACTTCTAACTCCTCTTAAGTCTTCTTACTTTTCCTAATGTAAACTTGCCTGAGTAAAGGCTTATCAATTACACCCCCCTCAAAAGAGTCACCTTGTCCTCAAGGTGTAAGTCAAGAAATCGCAGCTGAGTGAAGGGTAATAAACCTGCCAACTCCAATTACAACATTGGCAACTTTTCCCATTGCCACCCTAATTACACAAATTTCTCCATTCGCAACCACAGTTGCACATACATTTATGGACGTAGCTATGATTTTTTTGAAATTCGCATTTGAGAAATATGGTGACCTTTTCCAATTCTCGTTAGGGTTGGCCTTAGTCTCTCCGAACTTAGAGAAATTTCGAGGCTCATGGTTGAAAACACTACTACTCGGGTCGAAATTGTACCAGAAAACCCAGACCCATCACTAATTAGGCCGAAATTTGAAGATTCAATACATATCTTGCTAAAATTGGCCCCAATTTCACCGATATTTTGAGGCCCACCTTATTGAGCCATAATTAGGCCCAATAATGTTGTATTTACGCAGCCTAGACCCAAACATGCAAAAATCGACCCTGCCCACACCGTAACCACGAGAACCAACCTCAATCGCCGTATCCCGTGGTTGTCGTTCTATCACCGATCTCAGCCCAGTACCCATCACCATCTCCCGAGGTAGCCAGCCCCCTTCCGACCGCCTTCCACCTCCGTTCGGCCTCTCCCACCATGGGCCTTTGCGATTTCGGTCAAATTCCCCAAAACCCAGAAACCCAACTCCCTCTTGAAGCAAATCTGAGGCCTCCGCCCCTAAAACACCTCTGATTTGTCCTCCCTGTTGCGTTTGTCTGATTCCAACCAAGATCAGCCTCACCCAGACCAGTTCGTTGCCGATATGCACCTCACGGTGCAGATCCAAACTTCTGACCCCCAACTCGCGAATCCAAACGCCCCTCGTTGTCGTTTGCCACCTCCGACACCTTCCCCAAGCCAAATCCAGCGCCAATCGGCCCTTCTCGTTGTGGAACTGGGCCTCCCAACCCCTAAGTGGCGCCAATCTGCTTATTCCGTTGCAGATCGGACAGATTCAGGTCGAGATCGTCCCCTCAATTGTGCGATTCCTCCTTGCGAATAGTCACCTCCCTCAGCGGTCGTCCGATCTGCCCTCCCTTGCACGGTTCCTCACAATTCCGGTCAGCATCTCCAAGTCTGAAAACCTTAGGTTCAGCCACAACTCCTTCATGCTCAATTCCCTCCGCTTCGACCTTTGACCTGCAAGCCACTTCTTGACCCGAACTAGTTCCCCCTTCCCAAACCCCGACGACGCCTGAACCGGAATCCTCCGCCGGCATCTTAGCTTTCGCCGACGCCCTTAAATGCTTCATTTGCTCTATCAAACGACACAAATCGGTAAGATTCTGATTCATCTCAGCCCTAAATTCACCGATTCTTTTCTCCACTTAAGCTTTGACTTGTTGAATCTCCTTCTCCACCGCCTCAAATCTCTCCTCCGTTTTCCTGGCCGCCATAATCACCCAGAAACGATGCTCTGATACCAAAATGATAGATCCTTGACAGATTCACTAATAGAAAGTAGAACAGAATTTGATAGACAAGAAGAAAGAATATGTATAGACAATTGCTGAAAGTTACCACGAATTGCGGAACTTCGAGGGTCCGTGGCCTCCACTTCATAGAAATGTTTACAAGATTTTCACTTGTACAATTACTGAAACCTTTTCCTACCTCTAACCGTGTCCTCCTCCTTTTATTCTCATCCCTAAACTTTCTTAACAAGCTAACTAGGCGAACTAACAAGCTAACTAGGCTAACTAACAATCTTTCATAACAAGCTTCATAACAAACTAAACAACAATCTTATTCAACAAGCTAACTAACAATCTTGCTTAACAAACTTCTAACTCCTCTTAAGTCTTCTTACTCTTCCTAATGTAAACTTGCCTGAGTAAAGGCTTATCACTCAGCTTCTTCCTCCGCTCTTCACGAAGCCTCTTCTCCGTCTCCGTCTCCGTCTTCCTCCGATGTCGTTCATATTACAGAGAATTGTGTTCGGGTACTTTTCCCTCTTCTCCATTATCAATTTTGAATGATTGGTTTGTTGTTGTATTTAGTAAATTTGAGATCTTTGTGGATGGATTTTCGCGCTCGGTGGAGGCTCTATTTGCAATTTGGCCGATTTCGTTTTGTTTGGGTGCGAGGAAAATGGAAGAAAACAGATTTAGGTAAAAACAAAAAAATTTTGAAGGAAAGATGTGAAATTTTGCTTTTTTAGTTCAATTCCTTCTGAAATTTCCTTTTGAGTTGTGCTGGAAAGTTGCAAATAATATGCATAGAAAAACAGATTAAAAACTGGAAAGTTGCAAATAATATTAAGACTTTAACTAAAGTATGTCCTTACAGATGCTTGCTAACATAAACTTATTAAAAAGTTGGAGATGGTCATGCTTGGAGATATATATGATTTTCAAATAGATTTGCCAGCCTTTAAGAAGACTTACCTTCTTGAGAACAGAAAATAAAATAGGGTATTAAATGATAAGCAGCTTGAACAGCTTTGGGAAGATCCCTTGCCTATAATAAAAATTCATGTTTAGCTTTCAGGTAACTATTGATGGTATATCACGGCAACTTTATCATCTCTGTGCATGAAACAACTTTCAAGAGTCCAAACACATAACTAAGTTGTTTTGTTTTCTCTCGGAGTGCGTTTGGTTGCAGTGGCGGAATAATAATGGGAATAGTAATGGAATGGAATTAGAATGGGCTGCTTCTTTCATTTGGTTGGAGTTATAGAATTACGACTTGAATGAGGATTATGCTGTTTGGTTGACCACGTAATGGAATGGAATGAAACTAAACTGTAATTTGACAAAAATACTCTTGATTAATAATCATCATGGAATTTAATATTTAATTAATTAAAATAGTAAAAAAATAATTTAATAATTAAAAAATCTTGTTATTTGAAGGATAAAATTTAAAAACTATATTTCAATGGTAAAAAAAAATAATATTTGATTTTATGTAAAAACTATATTGCAAATACTTAAGACGCTTTCAACCCACCCCTAGTTTCCAGCAATGTGCACAAATTAGTGAAGGCATTTCTATTCATCCTTAATTGATCTATATGACATCACTTACGTAAGCTAGTTGATGAACATATTGTCTATGAACAAACACATAAAGTTGTCTATGTACAAAGTTTGATTCTATATCCTCCATCACCACTCTTTCAATCGATTGAAAGAACCATTGCACTACATGCATAATATTCAACTAATTTAAAAACAAAGCAACTATCTTTCTCTTTCTCAAAATTTCACTTTTGCCTAATCCTAAGCGAGCCATTATCCTACAATAAAACAACCAAATTAGTACATTTAAACTCCGTTGTCTAAAAAACTAGGGTTGTTCATGGGTTGAGTTGGGTTGGTACAGGTAGGGCTTTTTCTTCCCTTGCCCCGAAGGGTGCGGGTTGCACATATTTGGCCCCAACGACGTTAGAAAAATTTCACAACCTAATGATGTTTGGGTTGGGTTGGGTTGGGGCGGTGCGGGGTGGATTGGGTGGTCGGGTTCATGTTGCCAAACATAAATATATCTAAACAACAAAAATTTTGAAAATTAACTTTAACATTCAAAGTTCATCATCACATATAAATAATATTAATCAGTCCATCATCAAGCAATTGTCAATTTAAATTCAATCCAACATTAAACATGAAACAAAATAGTCCATCGAGCATCAAACATAAAACAAACATAAATTTAATCAAAATTCAAATCCATCCAAATTCCAAAACAAGCACTACAACGTCAGCTATTATTATCAGTCCACACTCATATGGTCAGACATATTGCTTTCGAAGTAATTTCTAGCTTCAATCACACCAAATTCTTTTAAGAAAAGTGAAAGACAAAACTATACGTGACGTTTAATATGTTAAATTATTTCTCTAACCAAACCTTATCCGTACAACTCTATCCACATTTCATGATGTTTCTAATGAAACACCTTTCCTTCTTGATCCATATATTATATTATACATATTCACAAAAATGTAACCCTCCAACAAATTAAAGTAAGTCGATTGCTTTTCAAGCCATTCCTGAGTTTTCAACCATTTCCAAAAACTGAAAAATAGAAAGTCAATCATGGCTATAAGACTTCCATACGTTCTGAATGCTAAACAGATTCTACACCAAGTCCAGTTTTTTTTAGCAAACAAGTTTATAATTTTAAAAATCTGGATCCATCTATATTGAAAAGCCCAATCATTGAAAAGCCTTAAAAACGACATCAAGTAGTTCTTTTGCTGGGAAAACGATATAAATGAGTTGAAATTTATAGAATGAATGTACACAGAGGAAGCGTCAAGCTAGACAAATAAATACCAAAATATGTGCACAGAGCAGTGAGGAGAGAGACCTAGAGGTGAGAGACAGAGAGAGCACAGAGCAGTGAAGAGAGGCCGAGAGGCGAGAGAGCACCGGAGAAATTCGGCAAGACGGCGGCCGAGATAACTGAGCATTGAGGAGAGAGTTGTGAGGGCCTGAGGAGAGAGGTAGCCGAAAGGTGTGAAATGAGAGAAGATGATTCTGGGGATGAGGGAAGATGGTTCACGGTTGTGGATGGATCCTAATGCCAGCCTAGGGTTAGAACTTGGGCCCAAAGTATAATATTATTAATGGGCCGAAAGTAAGCCTGGGGATGTGTTGTGCGGGTTGGGTTGGGGTCGCAGGTTGTTATGAGCCTAACTCACAATCCGCCCCAAACACTTCGCCAGAGGTATAATGGGCCGAAAATTTAAAAATAATACTGCGGGTTACTTTTTTCAAATTGGGTTGGGATGGAGTGAGTTGAGTTTGCGGGTTATTCGGGTTTATGAACAGCCCTATAAAAAACTAAGCATAAAAGTATAATCACAAGCAACAAAGAAGCTATCAAAAATTATTCCAGAACAACGAGAGCCTTAAAAAAAAGAAAAAAAAAAAAAAAAAAAGGAAACACCCAAATAATTAAAAAGCTTCAACAGCTTGTGCCCGATTCAAGACCAATTTCACGTCTGAAAATTAATGATCCATGTCAATATCTTGGGCTGCCTTCCTATTCCCACTACAATCACACCCCAATAATTAAAAAGCTTCAAGTAAACTTCCAAAAGAAAAAAAGAGAGGTAATGGGCGTGAAGAATTTCTCAATAACTGGGCATGAGTGAAATCTGTAAAGATAGACAAAGACTTGGTCATGACGGGCGTGTCGGAGCTAATCCCCAAGGTGAGGATTCTATCAATTTCAGGTTGTTAAGGATCTTGCCAAACAATTATGGAGACACCTTTGTACATCAACTTTGAAACTTCCAATAATTGTGAACATCAGAGGTTACAGGTTGTGGGGCGAAAAAGGTTGTGGGGCGTTGTTCAGTGATTAAATTCTTTACAGATTTCAGTAAATATTAAAGAAAAAACTTAAGAAAATTAAACGAAATTTATGAAATCAAACAGAAAAACAAAAACATATAAACATTTTTCAGAAATCAAACAAAAAAAACACAAACCTTTCACTTCGTTTCTTCTTGTAAATGCCTCCGTGCCCTCTTCTTTTTTTGCCTCTCTCACAGCAGAACAAAACATGGCAAGAACAAAAGAAAGTTCCTTAGTTTCTGACGACAAAATCAGATTTGCGACAACAAAAGCAAAATCACGAAAAAAAAATCTCACGGCACTCATCAGTTCGAAGCTCGAGCTTCAAACTTCAAATCCCCAACATATGAAGGAGATTTCAGATGAAGATGATGAAAAAAAAACGAAGGTTTTTACTTTAGGGTTTGCGAGAAGAAGAAGAGGATGAGAGTCCGAAAGAGGGAGAACATATGTACAGAAATTACCCTGAAGAGCCTCTCTTGTCTGAGAGAGAACAAACAGACAAATTAAGAGAGAGAAAGAAAGAGAGAGAGAGAGAGAGAGAGAGAACAAACAGAGACTTACACGAAAACAACGACGGGAACGCGGAAGAACCGAAGAGGCTGCGAGCTGCGGTGAAGAATGGAGAAGAAGAGAACGCGGCCGAAGAACCGAAAAACCTGCAAACTGCGATGAAGAATGGAGAAGAACCGAAGAAGAAAAAGAAGAGAGGCTGGTTGCGCTGGTTAAATGGAGACGAACCGAAGAAGAAGAAGAATAGATACTCTTGTTACCGGGCTGGGCCGGATCGTGCAGTGTTTGGCCCGCCATTTAACTAAACGGGTTAAGAGTGTTAAACGGGTTGATACGAATTCAATTTATTTATTTTTGTGTTATTTGTATTAATTTATTAATAGTCTAATTAATAATTATGCGGTTTAAATTCATTTATCTCATGTCATTTTTGTATCATTTTATCATGTCGTGTCTAAAATTACCGGTCTTAATTTGTGGTTCAATTTCATCCATTTTGATATCACTTTGTGTCAAATTTTCAAAACTTCTGAAATGATAATAGTATAAATAATTTTAATGAAAAATAAAATTAAATAAAAATACACTAAAATAAAATAAAGTCGCATATTTTTAAATAAAGTAAACTAGAAATTACTTTAGTGATTGAAAAAGCAACACAAACATTGATCAAAAAATCATGCTCTACATTAACAATTAATGAAGACTTTACTGATCCATTTGTAATCCCACCAATCACTCAGTTAAAAGGACAAAGAAAAATCATGCAAGTTTATTTTCAACAAAAGGGAGTACAAATAACTACAGTTGTTTTAAAAATATTGAAAGATGTCCATCTTTTAATACCACTACCATAAATATCAGTTGCCACAATAATAGATCTAAAAACACCATATCCAAAAAGATTGATTACAAGGTACGACATATTTACTAATTTATATCAATTATCAATAAAAATCAACATTTATAATTTTAAATACATATCTTATTAATCTTTAATCAATTCAGTTCTAAACTAAAGGTAACAGACCCACCAAAAATACTCGAGGATTAAGTAATATAACTACTTTTAAATTATTTGATCTATATTATGTATAACTAAAGATTTTCAATTTTCTTAATTATTATTAATTTTTTTAAAAATTTATATTTTACAGTTAAAAAGAATTTAAAAAAATAAAAACTATAATATATTGTAAGAAACTTTTAACTAAAATATTATATAGATATATTTATATATAAACTAATTCTATTTTATAAAAATTTTAAATTTTTTATATAATATGACAGTATCTTTTCCAGCAACTTGCCTTTAAACTATGGGAACAAGAAATGGCTCATGTATGGCTCCAACCTTGTGCCATCTTGCTGCGCCAAAAAGCGAAGTTGGCATTAGTGAACAGTGCTACGCCATATGTGGCACAACACTGTTCACACAACGCTATGCACTATCTTTTTTTTTTTTTTAAATTGAAATAAAGCCCACAAAATATTTTGAATTTCTTTTTTTTTTTTCTTTTATTTTTTATTTCCTTTGAAGTACGGTACCGGTATTTAAAATCTTTACTTCTCTATTATATTGTTCAATACGTTCACGGATAATATCACTAATTTCATCGGCTTAAAAAAAACCCCCAAAAAATTTTTAATTTTTTTTTTTTTTTTTTTTTTTTTTTTACCCTGAGTTCATAGCGCTAACCAATTTCTTCCTTTTTTCTACCAAAACGAAATTCTTCCATTTACACCCCTTTTTTCTATTTTTATGGTATTGGCTAATTTAAATTTTTAATCAATGAGGTATTTTAGTTAATTAATTGTAATTTATTAATTTATTATTTTTTAAGAGTTGGTTAAATAATTAATTATATTAGTGTACTAATATGTTAGTAATATACATAATTGCTGAAATAGATTAATCGCTAAGAATTAGTTAAATATATATATATAAGTCATATATAGAGAATATTTCTTTAATAGTAAAGTTTGAAGCAAGTGGTTGGAGATAACTCCTTGGTTGAGATGAAAGTCTCTGTTTCGAAGATAGACAATTATAAAATATAATAATGGGTTGTAGATTCCCGCCCTTAAATATTAAATGGCATGTATATAGCAAAAAAATTTTAAATTTAAGAACTTTTTTAGTACATTAATATATCGGTATGTTAGTTTTTTTGTCCGTTATATCTGTATAAAATCACGTAAAAGTTAAAATATACGTTGATTTAATAGTTAAAAAGCCAAACGTATCGGTACGTCAGGCGTACTAAAGAATCTCCCTTTAAATTTTTATAAGATAAAACATTATAACAATAGAACTTAAGTTATGAAAAAAATAAAGTAGAAGTTGTATAAAAAGTAGACTTGCGCATGGACCCAATATTATCTAGATAGACCTTGCACATAGAGGACCCAATATTACCTAGATAGACAAGACATTATATGGTACATACAATATATACGAGGGATTTTCTCCAGTAAGATCTCCTTGGATTATTTTTTAACTGTTAGATCTTATAAAAGTCATGTTAAATTAAAAAAGTATACAGAGCATATAATTTTTAATACACACCTAATAATTAAAAATAAAAAATTATTGATAATTTATTTTTTCTCATTCATATAAAAAAAACTCCATATATATATATATATATATATTATGACAAGGTCTTTAGTCCGACACTTAGGGGGCGTTTGGTTGAGGGATTCGTTCCCTGATTCGAATCATGATTCGTGGTTCGCTACAGTATTTTCTCTCACAAAAAATACACGTAAATCGAAAATGGTTCGAATCACATGGTTTGAATCCTTCAACCAAACGAACCCTTACTGTTTGCCGAACTGAAACGGTAAATGTATAATTATGGTTAATTGGTGTATATTTATATGTAAAGTGTGTATATTTATGGATTTAGAAACATTCGAGATTGTAATTCCACTGGGCAAAACGATTTCGCGGTCATCGTCTTCATCAATCTCGATCAAACGCCAATTAGAGGAGTCTCCTCCTTTGCAGTACTTGAGCCGTAGATCCGTTGAGATGTTGTATTCCCTCCCTATCAACTCCAGGAAAGGATACAACGACCAATTCTCCGACACATCCTTTTTGCGTTTGGATTAAGAGACTTTCCCACAAGTGACTGCAAGAAGACTACAAGTTTGTTTCAAAGAACCCTGAGAATGAAACAATAGTTTTTTTTTTCCTTTTTCCCAATGCCCATATAGCAAAAAACTTCCTTTAGTTGTGGGAAGCCTTCAACGTCCTCAGAGAAGAACTATAATTGGAAAAACTATGACACCCAACTAGATTACAGCATCAATTTCCCCAACAAAGAATACTTGCAAAATCACAAATTTTCACTGCCCAGAAGAAGAAATCAGATCAAAACAGTGCTTGCAATGACTTCACAAGATAGAACCCAGAAATCTTTAGCACAAATGCCCTCAAAATCACGAACCCCAAATGAGGAAATCAAGAAAAATCAACGACCCACAATGGCGGCGGAGAAAGAGGAGGAAGTGGTGGTGTTTAAGGAGAGAGAAAATGTGAGGGTGGAGGAGGAAAGAGAAGTGGGTTTGGATGTGGGAGTTGTCGGGATGCGGCCTCGTCCGCCTGTCAGAAGTCACCGGTGGCGAGGTGGCTGCAGAAGAGGTCGATGGAGCTCGAGAGAAAAATGAGTTTGGGAGTGCTCGTGTGTTTGAAAAAAGGAGAGGTCTTTTGAAAAACAAACTTTTCATCTATAACGTCCAAATTTCAATCCAACGACCATAATTACTGAGCGGATCAGTCAAACATTATATAGATGCCTGACTAAAGACTATTCCTATATATTATATATACAATTTATAATTATACACAAGATAGCTACTCTCCTCAGCCCCTACACTTGTTCCTTACACACTGGTCTTCACTTTACCCTTCATCTCAACTTTCTATTGACCCATTTTTTTCCTTCTCAATTTCTTAATAGGACTTGGCTGTAGCCCCCTTTGTAAATGATTGAATTTGTCTCATATGTCATTATAATCAGTTGAAGAATTAGCGTAATTCTTTTGTATTAAATCGTAGCACTTACTATTTTAGAAATCAAAAGTTATTTTTAAACATATGATAATAAACGATTATTTTACACATCTGTTATAAATATTATATGATTAATTTTAAAAGACGCATTAATAAACGACTGTTATTTTTAATATAAATAATAATGTATATATGACATTTTTACTATTGATATCAATCGTTCCATATAACTAATTGTCGTTTTTAAACATGAATAATATTGTCGTGAAAGATTACATCTAGTGCCTTTCAATATTATTCATATAATCATTCATGATGACAGATATGCATGATAATCATTTATTGTCATATGTTTAAAAATGACTTTTGATTCTCAAAATAATAACTGTTACGACTAATATAAGAAAATTACACCAGTTCTTCAGCCGGTCACGATTGGTGAAAGTTTCTCTTATAAAAGGGTTGCTAGTCCACAAAAAATGCCTCTTATATATAAAGAAAAAAGTCAAATAACTCTTAGAGTGTATTAATTTGAATTTGAATTTTTTACTTTTAATGAATTTTTTTAATCATATAATTATAATAATTAAATGAATATTAAATAAAAATAAAGAATAAAAGTGCAGGGCATGCGCTTTAAAGTTAAGTTGGACAAATTTTTCTATATTTTATTTTAAAGAACATTATAAATTCTATCTTTGTAAATATTTAACTCACTAAAAATAGCATTTTTTAAAGAAGTCTGCTCATTAATATGAGCTAGTTTAAAATATAAAAATATATAAACTAATGTGTTAAATGATAGAAATAAAAGGCTCCATCTCGAGTGGTATTTTTAAAAATTGACTTATCATTCTATAACCGAGAAAAAAAAAATGAAATTTTTTCCCCCAACATTGTAGCCCTAAATCACAAAATTTCGACAACAATCAATTCACTATTTTTCTGGAATTGCATACGTTTGCACTAAACTTCGATTTCACCTCAATTATCATTTGCTTTGAATTATTGTTTGTCGTGTAAATACAAAGAGAAACAACCAATTGAGCTTGTAAATAAACGTTAATGGCGCCGAGTTTGCATCACTGGGAATCGGACCCTTTGTTCTCCGCAGCCGAAGTCGTTCAAGACTCCGCCGATAGGCCAGTCTTCGCTTAATTCTGTTTCTTTTCATTTCGATTTTATTTTAAGTAGAATATGCGTAAAGTTCTTAATTATTTTGAGGAAAAAAGGAGAAGAAACTGAAAGTTCCCTTTTTAGGAATTGGAAAAAAATATATATATATATATATAATATTTTCATATCGATCAGCTTTAACTATATATCCCCTCATTAGCCAAAAAAAAAAATGAAATAAAAATAAATTTATCAACTGAACTGTTGTAAAACTATTTTTTCCCGTGTTTGGAATTTTATGTTTTATGTACCACATGCTCATTTCTCCAAAATTTCATTTTCAGCATTATATGGAACAATATATGGTGTGAAAAGAATCTGTTTTTCGTTGAAACCAATGGATTTGTATGGTTTTTTGGCCTTAATTTTACTAGGATGGAATCAATTTTCCGCCTTCTGTTGCACGAGCTGAATCTAGTTCAAGGCGACCATTCAGACCTGAAGCTGCTTACGTCTATAGATTTTCATAGGCGTGATCTTGCGACGATACTCGAAATGACAAAATGGCAGGTGTTTCATCATTTTTACCCTTTTCAATAGGAAAAAAATTCGTTATCGGTTTAGTAATCTCGTTGTAATCGTCTCAGTTGGAGGATTTTTAGAGCGGTTAGCTTGTCAGCTACAACAGAGAAGTCGCAGATGAAGGAAGATGTGATTTCTAGGCACAGGCAGTTTATCCGAGCGATTAGGGAACAAATAGTTCATGTGGAGAAAGGCTTGGAGGACTCTTCATTGGGCAATCCTATGAGAAATAATGAATGGGTCAACTTGAATGAAGAATAGATATGGATTGGCATTGTTTCTTTCTGGTGGAAGCCCCTCTGAACCGTCGGGTTTTAATGATGCGAGGGATAATGGTATATTAAGAAGATATCTTGAATCAACTACGGCAACTAGTGCAAAAGAAGGTACTTTGCGGGATGCTGAGAATAGAAGTAATGAACTTGAAACCTTGAATGGGAATGGGGTTGTGCCGATTAACCATAATTTTGACTATAGGAAGGATAACAACTTTGAAAAAGTGGGATCTTATGGTTCTCCGAGATTGGGTATCTAAGAAATTAAGGGCTTGTTCTTTTGAGTGAAAAATTCAAAAAAAGATAATTCGAGTTACAATTTTATTCGAGTTCATGTTCTTTTAAGTTTAAACTCAAGTTTAAACTCGAGTTTAGGACTAAAACTCGAGTTCAAGTTTCCCCTTCAACTCGAGTTTAGAAACTCGAACTCAAATTAATGAACAGTATTTTTTATATTTTTAAAAATGCTATAACTTTTTCATTTTAATTCTGATTGAGATGATTTTTTTTTCTATGCGTTGATAACGAAAAGACAAATAAAGCCCGACCCATATACCCTATTAAAATTTTTCATCAGCATTGAGTTTTTATTAAAATACTATATAAATACAAATTCAAGTTTTAACTCACTCAAACACAAACTCAAAAAGATTCTTATCTCAAACCATAACTCAAATGTACACAACCAAACACAAACTCAAGTTACAAGTTCAACTCAAGTTATAAGTTCAACTCAAGTTATAACTCAAATTCAATTCAAGAATTATACTCAAGTTAAACTCTAAAAGATTAAGTCCTAATTCTCTACTAGAGACATCTTATAACAGATGTGCAGATGGGAGTTGGGATCTGGAGGCCAATGTAGCTGAACCACAAAGCTTCTTTCATGAGAACAAGTTGATAAGGTTCCATAGCAGAGTGAATGTATTTGGGTTCTTCAATAATTTATGGGCTGCTTATGGGAGTAGGGTTGTTAGAAATTACATAAAGAAATTAAAAGATGGAGAAGAACAAAGGGATTCTCCATCAGCCACTGATACTTCAAATGATGCACAGGTACAGAGATTCATGTGGTTCTATATGTGATTAATGATTATTCTGTATATACTTTTGGTTTCTGGTTTTTGACAAATGTAATGTACTTGAAGAACTGGTGGGGACATGTCGGGCAAGATATCGAAGATCACAAAACCCTACTGAATTCAGTCGGCATTCTATTAAACTAATATCATTATTGATTTTTGCACTTATTATTGTAGGGGAGTAAACTTCCCTTAAATTTTCAGTACTCTTGCTTTATTTTTCTTTGGATCATTGTGGTTTCTCATTAATTTTTCTTTGTTTTTGTGGCACTAGTAGTTTCATTTCTGTGTAACTGAAAAGAAAAAATTGGTTATCGTGTTTGTAACTTCGACTTTTGCATTGCAGGCTTCAATTCTTTGTCAATATTACGTGATAGAGAACACTGTCAAAAGATTAACTGTTTTCTGACTTTGAGAACTTCCAACATGTAGAATCTTTTCACTTTCTTGAACTGGAAAGCTTTGAATTCTGTAAATCAGATGACAATTCAGGTATATCACAGTTATTTTTGAAAAAGCTAATTTTCATTCAATTCCCTAATGTTTCTTCAATCATCTACTGAATGCAGGCATACTGGTGGTCCAGATTGCTTAAAGAGGTTCACTAGATGATTATGAGCTCTGTATATTGATTACAACTTGGGATTTTCTTGCAACATTATTTCATGGGCGAGAAGACCAATTGCGAAACAGGCAACTCTTCGCCTATTTGCGGATGCATACTCCCCTTTCATGGCCTGTTATTCGTATCTCTGTATCGTGTTGTTTGGCATTGTGAGTTAGAGCGTGGTCAAAATAATATGCTGGCTATATCATGTGGTCAATTGTGGATGGTTGTATCAAAAAGTGCCTGAATTCTTTTTCTTTATTTGGGCTGGGGTTTGCATGATTTGATTTGATTATTGGAGAGCTCGCTATGGCAACTTCATGTTCTGTTGTGGTTAGTTTTGAAAAAGTCTTGGGATTGTTTTGAGCTGAAATAAATATTGTATTGCTCTCTTGCCAAAGCGTTGGAGTCGAACAAAATAAAGAATTCATTCTTGTGTATTTGAGGTGCTTTTTTATTTTTTATTTTTTTGGAGGGGTAGTTGAGTGTGAGAAACAAATATGAAAAAGTTTAGGGCCAAATGGTGATAGCATATTAAACTGAAGGCTTGTTCATGCTTCAGCCGTTTAGACGCAAAAGACAGAAAGCAAAAGGTTAATGAAACCGTTGATGACAAAAGGGAGATTTCCTGGATTTTTAGGCTTAATTTCAAGGTTTACAAACAACCAATTTGACGCTGGCATGTTCCCTTTCCATACTCTTATCAAATTATCATAAAATAAGGTATAAAAATAATATCATAACAAAATTCCCCCAAACATTTAAGGCACATCATTTGAAATAATGCAAGTGTAAGCTATTTACAATGTTAAAAATTCTATTCCAGCGGCAAGAAATGGGATTATGTAGTCCACCTACAGTTCGGCGAGTGAAGACTGAAATATGAAGGTTGGGAACTTAAAGCTGTGAAATTCTAAAATTTTCAACGGAATCCGCTTCTCAATCTGACCGCTCTATCTCTCGAAATCGTCTATCCCATTCACGAGCCTTGTTGTCTTGCTCAAGAAAATCCCTGTCCGTACTATATACGATTTGATCCTGTCCTATAACTGTCTTTTGAGCCATATCCCGCGCACTCAGGAGCTGAATAAGATCATGGAGCAAAAACATAAGTCCCTCATTTCAGTTTCTAATTCTGGTATGAACTCTGATTCTATTTTGTTCAAACATTATTGAAGCACATTTGAAAGCAGGTGCATCTTATCATCAATAAATCCTTAAAAGAGCATTATAGCCTGTTCCCCAATCATGGGAATGTACTATATAAATCAGTCAAAGTGTTAGACCCCTACTGAAGCAAGTTTACACTAGGAGGGGCAAAAAGGTTAAGGGCCTAAGGGAAAATATTGAAAGTGGCTAGGATGGTAAGAGGGCTAATCAGGGAGTAATTTGAATGCAGCAAGGGGCAGTAGGTTGGATAGCTAGCATTTTCTTCTTCTTCTGAGTGTGATGCCGGAAAACGGCAAGGAGTGCCGGAGAGCTCGAAATCTCCGATCTATCCATCTATCTTTCTTTGGTTCAGTATAATTCAGTGTTTTAGTTGAATTGAATAATAAAATTCCCCAGATTACACTCATCAGCTTGTTGTTTTTGCTGTGTGAGTGAGTGTGGTTTGGTGTTTGACTGATTCTCTGAGCTAGGTACCTAACAAATTTGGTATCAGAGCAACGATCCATGGCGCCTAAACCGGCAAATACAGAGAGGGTGACCACCGTGGAGAAGGGATTGGCGGTGGTCTAGGAAGCTGTCCACGCAATGGTGACTAAGAATCTTCCGCAGATACGTGAAGAGGTGGCTGGGCTACGTGGTGGAATGGTGGAGCTTCAGGACCAAGTGGGAGAGGTTCGAACTCAGATGGGAGATGTGCAGGCGACACTGTAGAGGATGGAGACACTATTGGCGGTGCGGCCGATGGCCGGGGTGGCTGATTTGGGTCGCGACGGCAAACGGCAGGACGGGGAGCGGCGAGATCGCGCGCCTCGGGGCGAGGAAAGCCCAGATCGCGACGACTCAGGTGGAGTGGAGGTTCCAATCCGGGTCGATCTCCGCCAGGAAGCGTTGATCCGCGAAGATCGAGGCCGTGAGCGAGCGATTGGGCGCCAGAGGGACATGGGTCTTCTAGAGGAACACGACTACCAGCGAGATCTAGGGTTTGGAGGACTGGGTCAGCGATGGGGAGAGCAGATCGACGGCGGGTTGAGGGCGGAAGGTGGTCGGGGCTCACCGGAGAAGGCGGCGGAGCTGGGTCGACGGCGGATTCTTGTGTGGGAGCCAGAGTTTGAGGAGGAGAGGCCTATTCCGGGTCAGGGACGCCATGGGCATCCCCGGAACAGGGAACCCAACCCTGATCCGGATCTGTATGGGGCCTGAAGAGGATGGGATCCGAGGCTGGCCTGTGGGGGAAGACGGTGGGAGGACTAGCAGGAATTCCGCCAAGAGACCCCGGAAGGTCACCGGGGAAGGGGAGAAATTCGGGGAAGGAGAATCGAGATGCTAAGTTTCGCCGGCGAGGACCCTATGGGTGGTTGTTTCGGGCGGAACAATACTTTGACAAGTGCGAGGTATCGGAACAGGACAAAGTTTCGACTGCTTCAATGTGCATGGAAGGGCATGCCTTGAATTGGTTTCGGTGGACAGATTCGCAAGACCCGTTTGTGGGTTGGAGGGAGTTGAAGGCAGCGATCTTGAAGCGGTTTAGTAGGGCCAAGGAGGGCGATCCGATGGAGAGATTGATGGCATTGAAGCAATGGGATCGGTAGCGGATTATTTGGACCGCTTTGAATTGCTTTCGGCTCTGGTGAGAGGAATGCCAAGTGCATTCTATAAGGGAGTCTTCCTCAATGGACTCCGAGAGGATGCTAGAGCGGAGGTGAAGATGCATAAACCAACTACTCTCCACGAGGTAATGGAGATAGCACAACAAATCGAGGATCAAAACGAGGCGGTGGAGAGAATGGGGTGGTGGAAGAATGGATAGGTTGGAGGATTGGGAAGATCTTATTCGTTAATGACGATACCACCGGCCGACCTTCGTTTCCGGGGAGCTCCCTTCGATCCAACACCAGCCAAAATGGGGGGGACGTTGGAAGGGGACAAGCTTCCCCGTCGGGGGCTTCTATTCCGTCAGGTGGTGGTGCAGGGGGATACCGCCAGCTGTCGGAGGAGGAGATGCAACAATGTCGCGCTCGTGGGCTTTGCTTTATAAATGTAAGTTTAGCCCCGGGCACCATTGCAAGAACAAGTAACTCCAAATTTTGTTGGCAACCGAAGATGATTCAGAAATAGAAGGGGAAGTCAAGGAGGAGGGTTCCGATGAAGACTCAACGGTAAAGAAGGTAGATTTCTCTCTCTCTGTGAAAACCATGAAAGTCAAAGGACGGATAGGTTCGGGGGAGGTGGCCGTGTTAGTGGATAGCGGAGCTCCCACAGCTTTGTATCGAATTTGGTAGTCAAGGAATTGGGGCTGCCTTGTGATTCCTCGGTTAGGTGTGGAGTGCAAGTGGAGAACGGAACGTGTATCAAACAACAAGGTGTTTGCCGGGGAGTAGAGTTGATGATTCAAGGTTACAAGGTGGTGGAGGATTTTTTCCCATTTGAGTTGGGAAGTGCAGATGTGGTGTTGAGAGTGACGTGGTTGCGTAGATTGGGAGAGGTGAGAGCGGATTGGTCCCGATTCACTATGAAGTTTAAGGAGGGAAAAGAGTGGGTGAGTTGGACAGGAGACCCCTCTTTATGCTACACGCCGGCAAGCTTACGTTCGATGGCTCGATCTCTCGGGCCTCACCGAGTAGGAGTATTACTAGAGGTTTGTGAGGTGGTGGGAGATGGCAAGGAAGGGGCTGCCGAAGCAATTCCCAAGGAGCTACAAGGAGTGTTGGCGATATTTGGGGGAGTTTTTGAGGAGGTCAAGGGGCTGCCCCCTAAGAGAGCCTGGGATCACCATATCGTATTGAAGGATGGGGCGGACCCTCCTAACGTCCGACCCTATCACTATCCACATTTTCAAAAAGGGAAATTGAGCGTTTGGTGTCGGATATGCTAGCTTTGGGGATAATTCGGCCTAGTTGTAGCCCTTATTCGAGTCTGGTGCTCTTGGTGAAAAATAAAGACGGTAGTTGGCGGTTTTGCATGGATTATCAGGCCTTGAACCAAGTAACGGTCCCGGATAAGTTCCCCATTCCGGTGATCGAGGAGCTACTGGATGAGCTCCATGGAGCACATGTATTCTCGAAGTTGGATTTGAGGGCGGGGGTACCATTAAATTCGGGTCCTCGAGAGTGATGTGGAGAAGACGGCCTTTCGGACACACGAGGGCCATTATAAGTTCCTAGTGATGCCATTCGGCCTCACCAGCGCCCCGGTGACATTCCAAGCATTAATGACTTGATTTTCTCTGTGCCCGTTCCGCATGCACTTCACGTGCCATTGGCGCTTTGCCCTCCTCTTATTCTTCATTGGACGGTTCGGATGGACTTCGCCGTTCTTTCCCAACAAAAAAAGAAAAGGCTGTATCACATCGAGATGTCGATTCGTTTTCCGCCCCCAATGAGATGGGGAATTTTTAACCCCCTATTTTTACTTTTTGGCCCTTCATCTATCTGAATCGAGGCCCGGCCCGGTTCACATCATTCCAACAACCGCCAGGGAGCACCTCAGTATACGATCGCGCGCAGTAACTAGGAGTCCTATTACACCTAAGGCGGTATTTCGAACATACCTTCGCTAATTTGTCCTTGTGTTCTTTGATGATACTTTGGTATATAGCAAAAGCTTGGAGGAGCATAGAGAGCATTTGACTAAGGTGTTGGAGATTTTGGGGAGAGAAAAGCTATATGCTAACAAGAAGAAGTGTATTTTTGGCCGGTCAAGTGTAGAGTATCTCGGCCACATAATTTCAGGAGAAGAGGTGGCGGCGTACCCTTCCAAAGTCACGGCCATTACTACTTGGCCAACACCACGGAATGTGCATGATGTGCACGGATTCTTGGGCCTCACCAGGTATTATCGGCGTTTTGTGAGGGGGTATGGAGAGATGGCACGTCCTCTTACCAATTTGCTCAAGAAAGGAGGCTTTGAATGGGGAGAAGCGGCGGCGCAAGTCTTTGTGGTCCTTAAGGGGGCTATGACTACCCTTCCAGTATTGGCTATGCCCGATTTCACCAAGCCATTTATAGTGGAAACGGACGTGTCGGGGGCTGGTCTTGGGGCAATCCTCCTGCAAGAAGGCAGACCAATTGCTTTCTTTAGTAAGGCCCTCGCCGAGACAAGCCGGGTGAAATCGGTATATGAGCAAGAGTTGATGGCAGTGGTATTTGCCATCCAAAAGTGGCGCCATTACTTGTTGGGACGCCACTTTGTGGTTCGTTCTGACCAACAAAATCTTCAATTCCTCATGGATCAAAGGATGCTCCCATCGGAACAATTACGTTGGGTTACGAAGCTTTTGGGCTATGATTTTGAGGTCTAATTTAAACCAGGGGCAACCAATAGGGTGGCAGATGCATTATCAAGGCGGGGAGAAGAGCAAACCACGGACCTAGCAGCTCTTTCCGTGCTCCATTTGGTGGATTTGGCGGATGTGACGCAGGGGTAGCGGGTGGATGAGTGGTGCTCGGGGGTGATCGCCAAGTTGCAAAGAGGGGAAATGGTGCGCTAGGGGTTTAGTTTGAAGGAAGGGCTATTGCTCTACAAGGATAGGGTAGTGTTGCCAAAATCATCCCCTTGGATCCCTCGTTTACTGTATGAGTTCCATGATTCGGTGGTGCCATTTGGGGTATTTCCACACTTACAAAAAGGTGGCAAGTAACCTCTTTTGGCCGGGAATGAAGGAGGAGATTCGCGATTATGTGGCCCGATGTGTGACGTGCCAAAGTGCCAAGAGTGAAGCGTTGTCTCCCGCGGTGCTCTTGCAACCGCTTCCGATCCCAAACCAAATTTGGGAGGACATTTCGATGGACTTCATCAACGGGCTACCTAAGTCAGAGGGCTGAGATACTATTTTTGTAGTGGTTGATAGATTATCCAAGTATGCCCATTTCTGTGCCCTCGCACACCCTCAGCAAAATCGGTGGCCAAATTATTCGTCCGAGAGATTGTGCGGCTTCATGGGGTTCCTCAATCGATTGTTAGTGACCGTGACCCCTTATTCATGAGTACATTTTGGCAGGAGCTATTCAAGCTCTAAGGGACCAAGTTGCACACTAGCTCCACCTATCACCCCAAATCCGATGGCCAGACTGAGGTGGTGAACCGTTGTCTGGAGACTTATATGAGGTGCTTTGCTTGCGCGAAACCGAAATTGGGGCTGAAGTTCCTTCCGTGGGCGGAGTATTGGTTCAATACCACATACAATGCTTCCACTAAGTATACCCCTTTTCACATCGTCTATGGCTGGGACCCCCCGGTGTTATACCGGTTCCAAGATACTCCTTCCTTGGATGTTGAAGTAGACAAGCAGATGCAACTTCGTAACTCCATGTTGGATGAGCTCAAGGAGCAATTGGAGAGGGCACAACAAACCATGAAAAAGTTTGCAAATGCTCACCGCTGCGATGTACACTTTGCACCGGGCGACCTTGTTCTTCTCAAGCTTAGGTCCTACCGGCTAAAATCCTTGGCCAAGAAGCTCAACGAGAAGTTAGCACCTCGCTACTATGGTCCCTTTGAGGTCGCTGAGAAGATTGGCAACGTCACTTACCGTCTCTCGCTTCCGGAGGCTGCTCACATACACCCGGTGTTCCACATTTCCCAACTCAAAGCCTTCAAGGGAGACTCTAGCTGCTCACCCCTTGCCGCCACATCTTTCAAAGGAGCTCGAGCTTCTGGTCCGCCCCGCGGCCATCTTACGCGCACGTTGGGCTCGAGAGGGAGGGCCACATGACTTGGACTTGCTCGTCCAATGGGAAGGACTGCCTGAATGGGAGGCAACTTGGGAACCCCTGGCCACCTCCACCAACAATTCCCCGACTTCAACCTTGGGGACAAGGTTGTTCTTGAAGGAGGGGGGGTACTGTTAGACTCCTACTAAAGCAAGTTTACACTAGGAGAGGCAAAAAGGGTAGAAAACATAGAGTTAAGGGCCTAAGGGAAAATATAGAAAGTGGCTAGGATGGGCTGGCGTGGCAAGAGGGCTAATCAGGGAGTAATTTGTATGCAGCAAGGGACAGTAGGTTGGGTAGCTAGCATTTTCATCTTCTTCTGAGTGTGTGTGACGCCGGAAAACGGCCAGGAGTGCAGGAGAGCTCAAAATCTCCGATCTATCCATCTTTCTTTTGTTCAGTGTAATTCGGTGTTTTAGTTTATTGAATAATAAAATTCCCCTGATTACTCTCATCTGCTTGTTGTTTTTGCTGTGTGAGTGAGAATGGTCTGGTGTTTGGCTGATTCTTTGAGCTAGGTACCTAACACAAAGTTTGAGAAAGCACTTGGGTAACAATGGAAGGAAAAAAGTTATGGAGATAGCAAATATGCGCACCTTTCGCCTTAGGGAGATATCTGGAAGTTCAAGTGCTCGAGCACGTTGTTCTCTTGCTCGGTTTCTCTTTTCTATTTTAGTATTCCTCTTCCGCAAGAAATACCACCGGAACAAAGGAATTGCAAAGAAAGAACCAGCATAAATCTGCAATAAAATGAATCAAACATAGTGATAAAAAAATTTGGAGATTTGATGTCACGAGTCTGAGAACCTACGTTTTAATCAAGGGAAAAAAAATCAAAAACACCACTCAAGATGGTAAAAAATATAATTTATGCACTTCACTCAAAAATAAACAATTGACATTCAATCAATTAATAAAGAGAAAACAAAAAGTCACAATGACACTCAACTATTTAATGACGTAAATAATAGGGCTGAACAAAACCATGGCAAACCAAATACTTTTCTCTTCAATCAAATCAAACAGAGAAAGAATAATGTTTACAATGTTGAAGAAAAAGGAAATAATGAATCACAGAGAGGAAATTTTCTGTTTTCTAAGGCAGATTATTGAAGCGGACCTGAAGTAGAGGAAATATGTCTGATACAAATTTAATGAAGCCACTTGGTGGAATTGCCATTTCCCTTCAAACAAAAGAAAAAAAAAAGGACGCAGAAGGTATTAGAGCCATGTTGTAATTGTAAAGACAGCTAAATAGCAACTAATTTAATGTAAAACTTACTTTAACATGGTTCCAAGAACTATAACCCCGAATAGATTAAGACCACCCAGTCCAATGACCATTGCTCTTTCAGAAGTGCTAGTTTTACTGCAAAAAAAAAAAAAAAAATGCATCAAGTTATATATAAATGATTTGAACACATAATTATTAGAAAAAAGCAAATAGAATAAGGAACCTGAATTGCAATTTCTTCTCCTTGAGAAATTTCTCAACTCCTCCAACCCAATCAGCCCATCTTCTCCCTACATATTCCTTTCTTCCACTCCTTGGAGAAGAAGCTGTGCGTTGGAGAGATGGAAACCGATACAGAATATTTCCCTGCATAAAAAAGCAAAGATGTGCGTCAAAATGTTCTCTCTCTCTTTTGCCACACACCACAACACAAGAGAATTACATCAATGGCATCTGTCTCAACGCAACACAACATAAATATTGGCAAATGCAATGTTTTCATAACTTTTGAACTATACCTCTTCATCAATTTCGGGCTGACCATCAAACCGTAAAAGAACAGGTAGGATATATGATTCATCATCCTGTAACCAGCATAAGGAGATGATTTCAAGCAGTACAACAAAATGTATAAAGAACCAGCATGGATACAGTGATAAGAAATTCTTCAGAATTCCATAAATAAAAGAGACTAAAGTAAAAAGTGCTGGCAGCAATTTTTTAAACTTCAAAAGGGTAAAAAATCTGATGAAAGATGAGCGAATGATGAAAGAGATGAGCGAATCTAGCCTTTCTGTTAATTATGGTTGCGATTCATAGTTAACTTTTTCATGTGACTGCGAATTGGGAAGGGAGGATGTTGATAAGACCTCCCACAGTGAACTGCGTCCGTACCAAATTATATGTGAAAACGGGAAAAAATATTTCTACCATACTTGAGAGGAAACTAAGGGAAAAAAGGAGGGACTAATGAAAATGTATAGATCAGATCAAATGTAGAACCTACAGTGGACGCCCCTGAAGTTTCTACATCAAGATATGGAGCAAGTTCCTCAGCTGTGACGACACCACCATTTGATGATATGTATTGGCCAATCTGCATATTCGGCGACAAATGGAAAATCCATTAAAATTTTATGATGGAAGAAATAGGAATTTATTCCAAGTAACAACCCGTTATCAACTTCGAGACAGAGAAGGCATGAAAAAACTAACACCCTAAAAGCAGATATATACAACGAATATAGTTTAAATTAAATGTTACAAGCAACGGACCACTGAACTCAGTGCTCAAGTATTACCAACTTCCATCTCTCTTCTTCAATTCCTTGATTTGGATCACCATCCCCAAATACAAATGAGAAAGTCTGAAATGCATGATTAATAAAGTCAACAATCAACATACCTTTTATTCAATGATAATAATAATAATTATAATAATAATAATACTAATAATAATAATAATAATAATAATTTTCCTCCAAAAGAGGGGAACTGCCATTTAGAAAAGTAAAGTAATATTCATTTGTCACATACAGATTCAATGAAGTTCATCTTGTCATCATCTGTTTTTACCCGTCGCCTCCTGTAGTAATATGGATCCCAGTACCTTACATAAAGCAATATAGGAAACAAATTAGCCAGAGTTTCTGTCAAATTCTAGGTTTCAATTGGTGAAAACTTGAGATCGTACATGTTGAAGAAGAAAGGCCAATAAAGCATTTGCATGACTGGACATACATAATATGTTCAGAGAATTTGGATAAAATGCCATTTTAATTTCCCAAGTATAGAAGACATTACCAAAAAAGGTCAGTCGGGCTGAAGTAAAAAGTAAATCCCGTATCATATGACCTTCCTCGTCGTCCCCGATTATCCTCATCACTGTAACCAAAATTCCATCATCAATGCCTTGCTAATGTTAACAAAAAGAGGCAAATAATACTAGTATAATGAATATCAATATGACTAAAAATTTGACAAATTAAAAGAATTTGCGTCAAGTTTGGAAAATACCTCCTACTAGAAACAATGGCAATGATTGTGGTATAAACAAGAACGATGGAAGCAATTAGAGCAGTCCCAAATGAAACCCTTATTAAATACTCGAATGCAGCCTGTCAAACAGTATGGTCATCATATTACTAACCAACATAAAGTTACAGGGCATAGGCAAATCATTAGGCAAGGATTAACATATAAAGTACCTTCCCCTTTTCAAAAAAAGGTTCAAGCTTTATTCTTAATGATTTGGTTGCGAGCTTTGCACGGTAATCTTTAGGGAAAACATAGAGAACATCACCTTCGTCAGACACCTGTTAAGACCATCTTGAAGACATTTGTACTCACAAAATAACAAATTTAAAGATCCCACTATGAGAAACTTCACAAAAAGCTAAAAACAAAGCTTCAACTACCAATAAAATTTTCCAAACACACAAAGTATTAATAACATATACCACAAACTATGGACATAAACGTACACGAATTGAGACCATCTTGAAGTTTAAATAAGCCCACTACGAGACACTTCATAAGAGAGCTCAATTAAGCTTTGATTCCCTAAACTTTTCCAAACACACTAAATCTAATTCCCAGTAACATATACGAAAAACGGTGCTCATAAACATACCTGATATTCAATTACCCACAGCACATTACAATTACATGTACAATGTTAAGTATTGGATATGTGAAGACCTGTTGAGACCATCTTGAAAAAAGAAAAAAAAAAAAAAGAAAAAAAAAAGAAAAAAGAAAAGACATTTGCACTCCGGAAATAAAAAATTCAAAAAAAGACCCATTAAGAGAAACTCACGAAAGAGCTAAATTCAGCTTCAATTCCTATTCCAAACACACCAAACCCAGCAATACATACCACAAATTATGTTCATATAAAACATACACGAAGAAATACCCAAATCACATTACATTTACTTAAGACTTTCAAGTCTAACAAATGAAAAAGACCTGTTGAGACCATCTTGAAAATATTTGCAGTGGTAAAATCAAAAACTTCAAAATAGAAACTTTATAAAATAGCTAAATTATGCCTCAAATCCCACTAAATTTTCTAAAATACACAAGTCCTAATAATATGATATACGACAAACTATGCTCATAAACATACCTGATTTTCAATTACCAACAATACATTAAAGTATTGGAAATGTAAAACACCTGTTGAAACCATATTGGGGAAAAAAAAAAAAAAAAAAATGCGTCGGCAAAATCAAAACTTCAAAGAGCACACTAGAATAAACAGAAACTTTATTCAATAGCAAAACTAAGCTTAAAATCCAACTAAATTCATCACACTTTCGACGTCTATAATTCATAGAAATTATGAAGATAACAAATTACCTCCAAAAATCCATTTAGTATAAATCCAAACAACATATACCGAAAACTATAAATACAAAGATACATGAACAATTGCATTTTTACAATTTAAGTAATGGAAATGAAGATCATACTAATAGAAACCTTATAAAACAGCTAAATTAAGCTTCAAATCCCACTAAAATTTTCCGAAAACACACTAAATTTTTCACAATTTTTAAGTCTATAGTTATATGAAGACAACAAATTACCTCTAAAAATCCATTAGTATCGGCAGCGAGAGCCTGCAGAGCTCTCTGAGCTTCGTTCAGCTTGAGCCCAGCTCTGCTCGCCACGTCGCCAATGGTGACCCTCCCACCACAGGCGTCCACGGCCTCCATAGCTCGCTTCCTCACGTCGCTCGGCAGCTTGTCGCTCTCCACGGCGCCTCCGGGCCGGATTCCGCTCGGCAAGTCGATGCCGGCTCTCACCGCCGGCGCCAGAACCCTCGGCCCCCGGCATTTCGCCGGATTTCCAGGGAGAAAAGTCGGCGTTTGGTAGGCAGGGAAATTTTTGCGGAGGTTTGGGAAAATCGAGGGCTTTAGACAGAGGCGGGGCTTGGGTGGAAGTGTGAAGCATGTGGATATGGAAGCCATAAATAAACTGCGATTTTTTTTTTTTTTTTTTAGGTTTTGGCCATGGAAATTGAAAGGAGAGACTATTTTTTTTTAGGTTTTGGCAATGGAAATTGAAAGAAGAGATTTTTTTTCAGAGAGAATAATTTGAAATTAATATATGACAGGCGAGTGGCTGAAGATTGAAGCTTGAGATTTTTCTTTGTTTATTTTTCTTCTGAGCTTGGTCAAGGTGACCGGTGAGGATGACGTTGGTACATTTACTATTTTGCCCCACTGGTAGTATAGTATGATGATTTTGGATCACTTTTAAGAATGCCCCGGAGCAATGTTGTTAATGTAACTTTGACCCCCAAGTGACAAAATTTGTAAAACGACGAGAAATTTTTGTCTCGTTCATTTGACCGATTTAAGTTTTCAGTTTTAAGTTTTTACAGTAAAAAGTTCTTAAAAAATATCACATTAATTTTTTTCGCTACAGTGAAAAGCTCTTAAAAAATATCACATCTCAGCTCGAATTAAAAACTCAAATCTACGAAGTAAACGAGGCTTTAAAACTCTCTTGGCCCGAACGACAAGAAAAGAACAATACATAATACGTTTTGTTTTTGCTTTTTTTTTTTTTAAAGAAATTGTCATGGGTCAAATTTTTTTAATAATTAAATTTATGTATTTTTTAATTTTTATATAACTTTATACAACTTTAATAATTAAAAAAATTTAACCTGCCGATATATTAACATACTATTTTTTTTAAATTGAACAATGCTTCTTAACACTCTAACCGTAGAAATTGTCATTTTAAGCTTGAATTAATTTTTCAACACTTTCAGTATTCTTCACATTAAAATTTTCAATATTCAATCTCTCTCTCTTCTTTTTTTTTTACTTTAAAATTTATTTATTTCTTAATTTTGATCATTTTTTTACTTTTTATTTTATTTTATTTTTTAGTTCTTTTTACATTAAAATTTATTTATTTCTTAATTTTAGTCTTTTTATCTCTTTTTTAAAAATTTTTTATTTTGATTCTTTTTGTTTAAAACTTATTTATCTTTTTATTTTAGTCTTTTTTTAACTTTTTTATTTTGATTTATTTTACCTTAAAATTTATTTATTTCTTCATTTTTATTTTTTTTATTTTTTTATTTTTCTCTTGAAATTTTATTTTTTCATCTTAATTTCTTTTACCTTAAAAATTTATTTTTCTTTACCTTTTTATTTTTTATTTTTACTCTAAAATTTTATTTTTTTTACCTTTTTACTCTAAATTTATTTATTTATTTATTTTAATATTTTTTTCTCTTTATCTAAAATTTTATTTTTTTATTTTTTTACATGGTTTTATAATCAGATTTTATATACTTTTAATAATAACACGAGTAAAACTTAACGGTAAAACTACTCCCTGTGCACGTGCACCTGAAGTTCAACATTGAAAATGCTTTTTTTTTTAATTATTATTATTATTATTATTATGAAATGGTTTAAACATAAACAACAGCTTCTACTCTTCTACAGTTCTTCTTCTAAGCTAAAACCGCAATTTTAGCAGCGGCTCCAAAACACCTCTCTGTAGTCTGTACAACCACAAAGCCAGACTAAGACAAGACTCTCTGAAATCTGAGCTCAACAATGAAGCTTCAAACCCTAGATTTATCCTCATCCTTGAAATTCATCAATTTCGACACAGCTCTTTCTTCTTCAATTCACGGCCTAAACAAGCCTAAGTTCGTCACAGCTTCTTCGCCTTCTCTCACTTCCAGTGAGCTTCGCTTTCCATTTTCGTTTCGATCTTTTTTTTTGGGAGCTTTCTTATTGATTGTTTTTCTCTGAAAAAGTTTGTTTTTGTTTGTGTTTTTTTTTTTTTTTTTTTTTTTTTTTGTGTTTAGGATTCAAGCGGCTCTCGATTCAATGTGCGGTTAGTTTCCGACCCTGCATTGATATACACAAGGTATTTAAAGATTTTTTTTTTAAAAAAATCGTTTCCAGGGCTTGATTTGCATTTTCACATTTCTCTTACTGCAAAAGTTACGTTTAAGTTCTCCAGATTTTGTTTGTACAATAAAGGTCTGAGCTTTTGCCTGTTTTATATTATAGGAGAAAAAAAGGTGATTTATTTTTTTTGGGTTTATGTTGTGGTTGTGAAAGTTATATTTGCTGAAACAATTTTGATTTAAGTTTAATTCTTGCAATGGTGCTTTGTTTGGGTTTGATTATAGGCTTATACAATCTTTGATTTTGATTTACTTGTTATTCTTGCAAAACGTTATTTTGTAAGGATTGGCACTAAAGTAAAGTGTAAGTTTTCAAATTTGTTAGGTTGTTTTATGTTTAAACAATTGATTCTTTCCAGGGAAAAGTGAAACAGATTGTGGGGTCAACCCTTCAGGATTCAAAGGATGACGAGTCGAGTCTTGTCACCAATTTTGAATCTGACAAGTCAGCTGGAGAGTATGCAAGTTTGTACAAAGAAGATGGACTTACAGGTGGTCATGTCATCATGCTTGGAGCAGATCCATTGAGCAATGCTGCAGCCATCGAAGCATTACATGCCTATCCTGGTAGGTTTATAGCTGCCTTTTATTTATGCGGTATCAATTAAGTTCGTTGAATATGATATTTTATCTGCTTTCTTTCCTGAAAATTTTTCTGATTTTCATTTGATACAAAGTCCATTTTCAAAATCACAGTCTATGAATTAGTCCTCTAGTAATTTTATTAGCTTGAAGTCAAATTGATTGATTATCATATGATGTTTGGAGTATGATGCAACTGAATTTGGTAATTTAAAAAGTGGTGTTAATTTTCTGGTTTTTGATTTTCCCTTTTCATACTAATGAATTCTCATGCCTACAATTTCTTGCTGCCTTGAAAACAGTTTGATATCTTCGGTTCTAGTGCACGGCACAGTACATATGTTCTCTTTTTGATTACGCGTAATGTACTTTGGCTTGGGAAGTACTAGCATTATAAAGCTGTCTATTTTTCTCTTCAACAGACAAGTATTCTATTTGGTTAATTTGTTTTGGAATCGAGGCATGTCAAATGTGTTAGGGATGAAAATATAATCACGTTCCTTATGTGAGCAGGTTCATGAAATTTTACATAGCAACTTTTTTAGAAACCCACCAGATTTTTGTTTTAATTTCACGTACTTTTAATTCAGTTGAGTGCCTTTAATATATGTTGATATATGTTTAACAACTTACAGATTTTTCCTCTGCTGAAATTACTGCGAGGACGACTTCTAGGCGGTTTGCAAGTTGGAGGTGGAATCAATTCCGATAATGCTTTGAGTTATATAGACGAAGGAGCTAGCCATGTGATTGTAACATCAGTATGTTTCATTTTTCTTTCTAAGCTTCCCTCTATGCAAGCATTTAATTCTTTCTCCACATGTTAGTTAATGGTCTGATGTAGGACATAGGATTATCGTTATGATGGCATATGGCAGTTAATTGTCTGTAATTCTTTTGAATAAACGATTTCTCTATCGTGAATATTCTCTAATTTTGTTTTGCTTGTAGTATGTATTCAACGATGGAAAAATGGACCTTGAGAGGCTTAAGGATCTTGTTCGTGTTGTTGGAAAAGAAAGACTTGTCTTAGACCTTAGCTGCAGAAAGAAGGTATGTGATTAATTCACTTATGCATATAGTTTTTACGTTCCTAATGAGGTTTTAATTGGAATTTCCATCAGCCATAGTTCCTAGACATATTTGTACCTTTTCTTTCCCACCTCTTTTGCCGCTAAGCAGAGTTTTTGGACGTCTCTGACGAGCTTATGGTGCTCTTGCCTCCCTTCCATGCATTCACCAATCTTGAAAGTTATATGTTTTCAACTAACTCCTTGATCATGTATCTGTTGGCTTTGATGTGCAGGAAGGTAGGTATGCAATTGTCACTGATAGATGGCAGAAGTTCAGCGATGTGTATTTAGATGATAAAGTATTGGATTTTCTTGCCAACTATGCGGATGAGTTTCTGGTCCACGGTGTTGATGTTGAAGGGAAAAAGTAAGTTTTATATTCGTGCCGGCAATTCGTTTATCTCATTTTAGTACTAAAATCCTTCATAGGATTATTTTTCTTGAACGTTGGTTGAATTCAGAAATTTTAAAAATCATGACTATAGGATGCTTGTACTTCACTTTGTCTTACCAATAAGTTCTCCTTGGTCTGTGCTATTGCTCCTGCTTATCCGATTCCGTACAGTTCTCGTGTGGTGTTATCCCACTGAATCTCAGTTATAAGACAAAATGAATATATATTTAAAGAATTTGAAAGAGTGAAATCTCAAGGTACGAAATTCGTGCGCTAATAGGATTTAGACTGTGCTATAGGAGGTTTGGACTGTGCTTGTTTTTGGTATGGTACCTTCTCAACCAAAAGAGAAAATATTTAGAAAAAAATGGGAAAATATTTATAATAGAAAGGAAGAAAATGAAGAAAGAAATAAAATAGTGTGTTTTTCTTCAATTACATTTAAATTCGTTTTTTTTTTCTTTTCCCAGGTTGGGCATTGATGAAGAGCTTGTAGCATTGCTTGGAAAGCACTCACCGGTGAGCAACATACTATAACACAATGATGCTTATGGTTCCAAGTGACTGGTTTTTAACAGATTTTTTTTTCCTCGTAACATCCTTCAATCAATGTAGTTGATGCACACAAACTATGGCACTGCCACTTTTACCGTCACTTAAATAGTTCTTATAGCATGTCAAGATTCAAGCGACATGAATGCATATTATACAAATCATAATTTGGGCACTTTAAAGTTGTTCCGTCATGCTATGAGTATGTTTGAATCAAATACTAAGGGCCCATTTAGTTCTTGTACTTAAACCTATTATTATGATCTTGTTACAGTGTTTTTTTCTCAATAAAATTTGAATCAATAAAGTTCCCGCCAATGTTTCTCTCACAAAATTTGAATTTTAAATCAAAAATATTGACTTGAACCCATGAATCAAAGGGGCCATACTTCATGCTGTGGATTTTGGTGTGCCAGATTCCTGTGACTTATGCTGGTGGGGTCACTGTAATGGCTGATTTAGAGAGGATAAAAGAGGCGGGAATGGGACGCGTGGATGTTACCGTGGGAAGCGCTTTGGACATTTTTGGGGGCAACTTGGCATACAGAGATGTGGTCGCTTGGCATGCTCAGCAGCAAGCCTTGACAGTCTAGTGTCTTTAGTCACTTTCTTTTATTTGTTCTTAATGGCTTTTGTTAGATCTTTGGAATGCTTGACCCTGACTTGTAACTCGAAGTTCCCTCTTCAACTTAAGAATTGGGGGAGAGATTTTTGTATCTGGTCTTTTTTTTTTTTTTTTTTTTTTTGAAAGGATGTTTATGGCAAATTTTAATTAGAAAATTTCACCAAACTATCATGAATTTAAGACCTTTCCTATTAAATTTATTGGTGAAGAAGTATTTAATAATGTCATTGTAAATAAATAGAAGAAATGTCACTAAGTTCGATAGGAAATATAATTCGGACTGAATACTTATCAAACACTAACTCAAATTGTGTTTACTTTCAGGCCGAGTTAAATTGAGTTAAACTAATGAAATAAACAGGTCTTAAAAATTCCTTAAATTTGACTACCTAGGGAGTGAGATTTTAGGGGTTGTTTGGTTAGAAGATTCGTACTTCGATTCGAATCATAGTTCATGGTTCGCTAGAGTGTTTTTTCTCACAAAAAATACACGTAAATCAAAAATAATTTTAATCTCATTATTTTAATTCATGAACCAAACGTCTTGATGAGAGCGTGCGCCCGTCGTAGAGCTAGTTAGTTGTCACCAAGTCCGACAAGAGAAATTATGGAATCAGGGAATTGTTATAGTAGAGATAATTACACAACATGGTAAAATTTTATAACTTAAAATTAACACAATTTTCAAAAGTAACACAAATACAAAAATAACAAAAATTTACACGCATGATAGTAACATAATCATTATCATAATGATACCAAGTTTTACTATTTTTGTAATATTTCAAAAAGTTTACTATATCTCAACTTTATTATTTAAATTTTGCAATGCGTGTAATGTGGTGGAGATGCAGACAAAAACAAGCCATGCAACCCAATACCACGAGATTGATAGCTGTAAACAGTTTAAACTCAACAGTGTTCAAGCGCATAGACTAGCAAAGAGGGAGAGAGGAGAAAAAGAAGAAGAAAAAGAAAAAGAAGTGTCCATGTACGTAAAATAGCAAATTACATTCAGCTCCATTCAGCCTCAAAGATAGGCTTATTCATAAGACCGAACAACCAAAAGACAAAACATCTAAAGGAAAAGGAGTACAAAACTCAAAACACATTGACAAAAATCAAGATTAGCCAAGATTAATTACTGAGCACCATCGGTAGTCAAGAAACTAGATATACGTAGTGGGAAATATTTTTGGCCCCAATGAGACAGGTATTACATGACCCATAGATCCAGTTAACACTCAATGCAACCAAATAATAAGAGGCTATACATATTATATGATGTCTCTTTATATGAACACCAAAAACCACCTACGGACAACTACTATCTACCAGTACTAGGTTGAAGTGTTATTACTAATTATATCTCAGCTCTGCCGCTCCTGTGAAAGGAACAAGGAAAAATACTCAGAAATGCCATCCGATTGATTGTGGGGTGACCCTTTTCCTTATCAGCGTCTCTACATTTGGATACTTCCTTTTCCGCCCACCCCTTGGCCGTGAACGGAACTGCTCATCAGACTCTTCAAAATCCCTCTAAAAGAAAACAAAGCCCGTTGAGAAAATTGCTTTATCCCTAATGTACGAGATAATGTTGATTGATTATGACCACAAAACTCACATGGGTGTAAACATGGCATTCGGTCTTCTCATGGCTATCTCTCACAAGCTTGTACGCAAATCTCATGCTGCAACCGGCAAAGCCACAGGCAAAAGGTTTCTGTTTCAGGTATGCAGCCTTCACATGTTGATTGAGATTCGATTTCTGCAAAAAGACAAGTTATTAAAAAAAGGTACATCCAACATCAGGTGCAAATTATCAACAGAAGAAACATCATTTATCATGGGCGTGAATTCTCAACTCAAAAGAGCTCAAAACATAAACTCTCTCTAGTGTTGAGGCATGGAACTTACAGTTGAGAACGTGTGATCACAACCCTTAAAGTTGCATTTAATGCTCTCTGGCGAACTTTTTTCTTCATCCGGAGGTGTCTTTCAATGTTCTTTTAGAGCTGCTTGGTCCCACATATTTCGCAGGTGATATGCTGGTGGTATGATTGAATATGCGCCTTGAGACATTGTGTGTTGGTGAATGTTTTCATACAACCTGGTTCCGCACATATTGTCTCGACTGTGTTCAACTTAACTGCAACAGAAAGGTAACTGATCAGATCTTTGAACTGTAATATATACATTGCTAAACTGGGAAGCAACATTTCCCTCTAAAACGAACATGAAACAAAACATTGAAAGTGATCAGTATATATTCCATTCAAAGAAATCAAAGAGATTAACATTAAGGTCATGATGAGCTACCAGAAAGCTTGGAAGAGGAAGACCAAAAAAACTTACCATGGGAATCCTTTGATGCAAACTTAAACACTTTTCCACACCCAACTTCATAGGAAATAGGGGAAATCATTGAAGAGGTTATATAAATCACGAAAGGTAGTTCTCCATTATACATCTGTTTAGCATGTCAATTCTAGACCTATAACTTATAAGGATAAATACAAAAAAAAAAAAAAAAAAAACCACAAAACCAACTAAGAAAAACAGACTTGTTGCAAGTGGAAAGAAACTCGGGGAAAAAAAAAAAGAAAAGAAACCGAGTCAAAAGTACAGACTTGTTGTTGCAAGTGATGAATTACCATATTGAAATACTTCAATATGTTCAATGGTATAAACAAGTTACCTCATGGGAATGGCTTTGCATGTGTTGCTTCAAATATGCAGGTTTCTTGAAGCTGGCACCGCATTTTTTGCGAGTATTTGTTTGTTTTAGACCTTTTGTCTCTTCTGTCTCGGCCCTCTTCTCCATTTCATCCTGAACGACAAAGGAAAAAAAAAAGAATTCGCAGAAGAAAAAAAAAATGCAAAAATACATTTTGAACATTGAAAATAATATTAAAATTGAAAACACACACGTACATAAGAACTCCTATTTTATTGGAATAGAAAAACGAATTTTTGCATTAATTAGGTTTCCAATATATATCGCTCATCAATATTTAGTATTTATGCAGACGAAATCGATCTAATCGCTAAATTCTCTGCAAATTCATTTTTGCATGGAATCAAAAACATATTACTCGTAAATTATGAGAATGAAATTTAAAGAAACTTTTACAACTTCATAGCAATTGATTAAAGGGCTGAGAAGGAGAAAGCAGAAACCTTATGATTGGTGAGGATGTGAGAGGCGATGAGAGGTTTCTTGGACCTGCAGATGCCAGAGTAATCGCAGAAATACCGCCTTATGTCCCTGAATATCAGCATCTTCTCTCCCGCTTCCTCCATCTCTCCCTACCCAGCCAACTACTGCAGAGAACAGAACGGCACAAGCAAATGCTTTGTTAGGAGGAGGATATAAGAGCCCTAACTATGGCCCATTAGTTAATTAAGGGTGATGATATGAATGTGGAAAAGAAAATTAATGTGTCGTTAATTTTACCGATTTAAGTTTTTAATTTTAAATTTTTATTGTAAAAAATTATCAGAAAATATCACATTTAACTTTTTTCTGCTACAGTGAAAAACTCTTAGAAAATGTCACATCTTAACTTAAATTGAAAACTCGAATCTGCAAAGTAAACGAGACCTAAGATCGTTTATTTTATTAATTTGAGTTTTTAATTTTAGTTTTATAATAATTAAAAATTTTCATAAAAAGTTAAATTTAATTTTTTATTATAATTAAAAAAATTTTATATAAAATTATATCTCAATTCAAATTAAAAATTTTAAATCGACGAACTGAACGAGACTTAAGTCTTTCCAACAATCAGGCCATAAAGGAAACTAGGCAAGATGTTAAAAGGTGAAGATGAGACTTTGAGAGCAAACAAAAAAAGTGTGGGAGAGAGAACTTAACATAATATTATTAAAAGCGGCATCCGTTCGTTTAAACACTTTTTAAGTGAAAATTCTACTCTAGAGTATGAAGAAAAAACAATGAATGTAGTAGTTTATCAACAATTTATACATCTAGATTGAGGTTAGATTTTATGATAAGTTGTCTGTTTAACATTTTCTTTAACTGTCTTTAGCATTCGTTTTAGCTTATTCATGAGTTACGGTAATATCATTACTACCTTTATTTATACCATATTCAGTTAATATCATCACTCACAAGTACGATTTTATTTCATTTTAATTAACAAACTAGTTGAAACAACGCGCTTCAAATAAAGAAGTTTACTTCTTACTGACAACAGTATATATCAAAGCACAAATTTCTTCTCTTACTTCCTGGAATAACAAAAATAGTGTTATTTCATTTGCAATGCTCATTACAAAAGCAAGCTTCAAGTACTCATGCAAAGAGGACAAAGGAAAGAAGAGAAAATATATTAGAAAAACAAGCAAATCTATTAAAAAGAATAAATATGATGCAATCATGCAATATGAAAGATGTTGTGTTGTAGTATCAAAATAAAACATATTTAGGATCAAAGAAGAATAGCTACTTGCTTTATAAAGGTCTCGTTCATTTTTTCTATTTAAATTTTTAATTTCAGTTTTACTACAGTTAAAAGCGTTTATAAAAAGTCACATTTAACTTTTTTTGCTACAGTTAAAAGCTCTCACATAAAATCGCATCTCAGCTCGAATTAAAAACTCAAATTAACGAACTGAACGAGGCTAATGAAACCAAAAAATTATGCAGTCCATAGAGGTCCAAAAGCATATCCATAAGCCACAAGCACATATCTACTCATGCCCTAGTCTATACAAACTTCACAATTAAAAAAAACAAAAAAATCCAACAACATACTAAAAATAAATACATTGGGAAGGTACATGGTCTATCTTTTTAAGGAGACGTTTGTTTTCTATATTCGTCTCTGATTTTGAATCATAATTCATGATTTTTTACAGTGTTTTTTCTCACAAAAAATACATGTAAAATGAGAATGATTCTAAATATATAAACTAAACGTCCTCTAAATCAGAATGGATACAGCCTAAAGAATTTTGGTCTAGCAGTCCTCTAAACCAAGAGCACAACTTTAAGACCGGGCCGGGATTTTATGAAATCAAACATTATCAATGGTTTCAACGACATCAAACCCACATCTTACAGTTTTTTTTTTTTAGCAACCAATTTCAATCTTTCTGCCGATCCATTTTCCTTTTGAATTAACTAATCTTGTATACATATTCATGTATGATACCTAAGACCCCTGAATTGCTCATACCAAACAAACAAAGTTTACACACCGCAAACAAATACAAACTATCAAAGTACATAGACAACTGTTCAAAGGTCAAAAACTTGTTAGATGAAAATCAAAACCAACTCCTTTAAAACATGGTTAAGTGTATGAGAACAAAATTGAAGTGCAATCCACACAATAGTTTCCAACATAATCCTTGGATGCTCCAACAACTATCTTGTAGATCTTTCATAAAACTAACACCCAAATTAAAATGATAGTTGCCAAAGAAGAGAGGAGAGGTATAGAGGTATGGAAGGCAACAAATTTCTTCCGACAAAAAAAGGGATAAAAATAAAGAAGCAAAAAGACGACAAACAACTAAAAAAGGTAAACGTTATTTCATGTGAAGCCCACTTCACCTAACTACTAACAGCAATCCATCAATTTTTCGTCACAAAGCAATGAAGTTCCTTAATTTGGCTTTGATACTAAGAGCCCGTTTGGTGGGATGATTCATTTTCTTATTCGAATCATAGTTCATGGTTCGCTATAGTATTTTTTCTCACAAAAAACACACATAAATTGAAAATGGTTCTAATCTCATGGTTCTAATCCATGAACCAAACGGGCTCTAAGATATTACAAAGACATGGGCATGAATACTCAGCTTAAAATAACAAAAAAATATATATGTATTTATGTAAAACTAAAAGCATCTTATTTCATTCCTGACCAGTAATTTTTTGTTTTTTTGGTCTCAAAACAGAAGAATCTGTAGTTCAATCTTTCTCTTTGAATAAAATAACTGAAGTCCAAAGGAAAAACAAAAGAGTTACTTTAAATAAAATATATAAATAAAATCAGTGTCAAATTTAAGTACAGTTAGTGAGGGTTAGCGCCCCATTCAATTTTTTTTGAAAAAAATATTACCTTTAAAAATTTTAAAATTTTACACTTAAGCATCTATTAAAATAATATATGGTTCCATTAAAATAAATATATTTTCTTATATGTCCCCATTAAGATAATTTATTAAAAAAAATTAATGTACGCCCAACTAAAGTGAAAGGCTCGTTCTGTCACCAAATCCAAATAAAACGAAAGGGAAAAAAAAAAAAGTCAGGAAGAAACATTCTTATTCTTATGTTTAATTAGCTTATATAACAATTAGTACATAACTTAGCCAAAATCAGTTATTTTTTATACGACTAAGAAGAGTGAACAAAACTAATAACTCGTATATATCATATTATCCCACAGTAAAGAATTTCAACACGAATATCGGCTGCTTTCTGCAATGTTTTTGCCCTCTTTCTTTCTTTCTTTCTTTTTGGCTTCTCTATTACATTAGACTATTGAAGTTCAACCTGAATAAACGCAGGTTATTTATTTCAGTCGAAGGAGAACGAACAGCATTGAACAAACGGCATGGCATTTTTACGATTCAAACGACATGTTGTAAACTTCTTCATACGATAAACGACATGTCGTTTATAACGTCTCATGTTTTGTCTTTTATCTATTTTCGCATGTCGTGCTGCTAGCGTTTTTTTATTTTTTTTACGTGCTTTTTTGTCTTTATTTATGCATGTGGCCTTTCTCTTTTAGAAAAAAAAAAGGCGTTTAACAGTTAAACGAGAACAAAAACGACGAGTCGTTTTACAGTTCAAGACTCATAAACGACATTTCAAGAAAAAATAAAAAGACAAAATGACAAAGAAAAAAAAACAAAAACAAAAAAGCGTTCCAGGAAAAAAAGAAAAACCATAACCACCACTCTAGTGAGAACTGAGAAGTATCTTCTCCAACAGAAATTCAAAACCAACAAATTCTTCTCAGCAAATCTTCCATGTTCGCCCAAGGAATTTCTCCCACCATGCCAACCATTTCCTCTCCTATAAGCTTCAACACACCCATGGCCATCTCCTCCATGGTCGCCAACAGAGCCACGGCTCTTTCTCCACCGTCGCAGCAGCAAAGAAGAAGAACCATGTCCGCTCTCGAAGCTCGAATCTCCCTCGTCTTCGCTCTCGCTTCGCAAACCTCATCAGTCTCTCTGCGACGTAAATGTTCATGAGTTTTGATCCCAAACTTTTTTCTATAATTCCACTTTTTGCTTGATTTGTTCAAGGTACAGTAGACTAATTCGGTTCGAAACTCTGTCGCAGTTTTGGCGGATTTGGTGACTGAGACCTCGAAATACGTGTTTCCGAAAAGGTTCGAGTCACGGACTCTCGAGGAAGCTCTGATGTCAGGTATTGTTTCCGATTGAAGCCTGAAATTTTCTCGGTTCTGAATTCTGATGGAATTTACAGACGTGATTTTCTCATTGGAGTTTCTTTTGTTTTCGGTGTAGTTCCGGATCTTGAGACTGTGAATTTTAGGGTTCTGAGCAGGACGGACCAGTACGAGATTAGGGAAGTTGAGGTATCGAATTTGCCCTTATTATTTTTTTTTTTTGAAAAGAAATTCTTTTCTTTTATGTATGTTGCAAAATGGTCTAAATTCTTTTTTTTTTTTGTTTAATTTGGAAACAGCCTTATTTTATAGCGGAGACGACGATGCCGGGGAGAACTGGTTTTGATTTCAATGGAGCATCTCAGTCTTTCAATGTCTTAGCTGAGTACCTGTTTGGTAAGGTAGTTAATCTATTTTAGTTTTTTTTTTCTTCTTTTTTTTGCCAGTGAATTGGTTTGTTATACATGTAGAGCTAGATATGTAGAATTAATCTGCTTCTTGCGGATATTGCATTATTTTAGAACACAACAAGGGAGAAGATGGAGATGACCACTCCGGTTATAACGCGAAAGGCTCAACCTAATGGGGAGAAAATGGAAATGACAACTCCTGTAATAACAAAGAGGGTAACTTTTCTGCATTGATCTCGTGTAAATTTTCTCTGGTGTAGAGTGAAAACAACCTTATCATATGATGATATGCATTTGATTTATTGGATTATCAGTTTTGTCTTAATTGTTGGTCTGATCAAAGCTATGATACAACATTTCTGATGAGCTTGCCTTTCTTCTACTACAGTCTCCAAATATTCAAATTTTCCCATATCTAACATTCTCCAACACTTTCAAATCATAAATAAGACTTGAAAAGACTGGATTTCATATGCTCAATCATGAATTTTATGCAGTTGGGTCGCTGTAGCCATAGTAGTCTCATTGCATGATTCAACTCTTCCAAGAGAGTTAATTTTTGGGAACTGAAAGTAGGGTGGTTATTTTTTTATTAATATTTTTAAATACTTTCCATTTATCATCATCTTTTTTTTTTTGCTATATTTATATATAGGTCGAAGATCAGGATAAGTGGCAGATGTCTTTTGTCATGCCCTCAAAGTATGGTGGTGACTTGCCACTGCCCAAAGATCCATCTGTGAGGATCAAGGAGGTTCCAAGAAAAACTATTGCGGTTGTTGCATTTTCAGGTTTGTCTTTTCTTAATCTGTGAGTCTTGAGATTTGTAGTGTCGGTATGTGTTTCGAGATCTATTATTTTTTCTTCCTTGTAATCTTTTTAGCTTGCTTGATTCATTACACAATCTAGGAATTCCTTAGTCACTTGTAATAGACTTTCGAGGTGCACAGCAAGTGATGCATGAATCAAATTTTATTGAAACTCATTAAACTGTATTATGACATTGTTATATTCTCCTTCATAACAAGTCAGGTTTTGTTACTGATGAAGAAGTTAGGCAAAGGGAAAACAAATTACGAGAAGCGCTGAAGAATGACAGAAAATTTCAAGTGAAGGAGGGCACCTCGGTGGAAGTTGCACAGGTAAGATCATGAATGAAATATTGATGACAGGTCTTAAGGGATATGAGCTATTCGCTTAACATGAATTTTATTTGACTTAGTTCTTGATCATCATCATCACTATTATTATTATTTTTGCAGTATAATCCCCCATTTACGCTTCCCTTTCAACGGCGTAATGAGATTGCACTGGAAGTTGAAAAAAGAGAGGAGTAGCTGTTATTAGGAGGTTTAAAGTTTCAATTTGATAACTATAGTAAATTAAGTAGTTGGAGACCTGCCAAATCAGGTTTTACCATGTAGATCTTCATGTGGTGTTACTAAGCATATCTTTATGTACTAGAATTTGAGAGATAGTAATTTTGTAGAGTCATTAAAGATGCATCTTATTTCATAACTGAAATACAAAAATGTATAGATAGATAAACGATGTAGCAAATATAGTCTCCTATATTTAGCTTTCCAGCTCTTGTTCTGTTCAAGTGGTATGGAGTGTCAAAATAACTTGTAAAATATCAAGAATATTTTAGTAAATCTAAATAATGACAGTAGATGCAGTTGTGCAAGAGCAATCTCTGACTTACTTTCTAATGGCATGTTTACTTATCTGTAATCAGAGTGGATAAATCGGAGTTGACAGGAATCAGAATCAGAATAAGCTGTTTACTTAGGGCTTGTTCGGTTGCATTTTTGAGTTATAATAACTTAAATGTAGATATTGAGTTGAATTTGAATTATAATTTGAATTGAAGTTGTAACTTGAGTTTGTGTTTAGATGTGCACATTTGAGTTATGATTTGAATTGAGAATCTATTTGAGTTTGTGTTTGAGTGGGTCAAAACTTGAATTTGTATTTAGATAGTATTTTAATAAAAACTCAATGGTGAAGAAAAATTTTAATAGGGCATATGAGTGAGGTTTTATTCGTCACTTCGTTGTGAACGCATAAAAAAATCATCTCAATCGGAATTAAAATGAAAAAATTATGACGTTTTTAAGAATAGAAAAAATATTGTTCATTAACTTAAGTTTGAGTTTAAGAACTTAAGTTGAAGGGAAAATTTGAATTTAGATTTTAGCCTCAAAATCAAGTTAAAACTTGAGTTCAAACTCAAGTTCAAACTCAAATTTTACAAACGAACAACTTGAATAAAGTTCGAATTTGAGTTCAAACTGTTTTTGAGTTTTACTAAAAAAGAACAAGCTCTTAGGTTCTAGGAATCGGAGTCAGAATCAGTCTCAATCTCATTCATGCGTTTACTTACGCCCAGAATCAGAATAAACTGTTATAAATTTACTTACCTATCCTTTTAGTAGATTTTTGTGTGTTGAACTTAAAAAAAAAAGAAATTGTATATTATGCTATCTTAATATTAGGATAACTAATTAGTAATCAGATTTTTTTAATCACACCTAATTAATCATCTAACTCCGCCTATGCATTTGTATAGCCAGTCTTAAGCCCGGGTAAAGGAGGAGGGTTACAGTAGGTTGACGGCCAGCGTAAAAATAAGTCACTCTCATGGATTTCACTCACATTTAATCTGTTGGAGCATTTCCTACGTGCGACGCGCTATGCCAGGCCCCAAGTATAGTGTTAAATAGGCAAGGGGGGTCTTCGTACATTCATGGACGTGCGCGGGGGAAAAGTGAGCCCATGCGCCATGTCGGGCCCCGGATATGGTGAAAAATATGCAAGGGGGGTCCTTGCACATTCTTGGACATGTGCAAGGGGCAGAGCTAACCCATGATAGGAAAATTCGTTTAGGCGGTTGGAATGTAGGTTCTTTAACTGGTAAATTTATAGAGTTAGTAGATGTTATGGTAAGAAGAAGAATTAATCTTTTATGCTTACAGGAAACGAAGTGGACATGAGAGAAAGCAAAGGAGATTGGAAATTTAGGACGCAAGTTATGGTATACAGGTTGGGAAAGGAATCGCAATGGAGTTGATATTCTAGGGGACAAAACTGTGAAGGATGACGTAGTTGAGATTAAGTGAATAGGAGATAGAATTATTATGCTCAAATTGGTACTAGGAAATAAGTCCATCTATGTAATTAGTGCTTACGCTTCACAAATAGGATTGGATGCGGAAACTAAAGTCAAGTTATGGAAAGACATTGATGACTTAATATGTCGTATATGCAATGAGGATAGCATTTTCATTGGAGGAGATTTCAATGGGCATGTTGGTAAGGATATGAAAAACTTCGAAAGGATCCATGGTGGTTTTGGTTTTGGAGCTCGAAACGAAGAAGGGAAATCTATTTTGGAATTTGCATTGGGACATGATTTTATTATAACAAACACATTTTTCAAGAAAAAAGATTCTCACTTGATAACTTTTAATAATAGAAGAAACTTAAGCCAGATAGATTATTTTCTCACCAGGTATAGAGATCGTTCTTTATGTAAGAATTATAAAGTAATTCCTGGAGAAGTACTAGCCACCCAACATAGGTTAGTGATCTTAGATGTGAACATTAAGTTTTGCTATAGAAGGATTAAGATAAACCACCTCTCACGAACTCGTTAGTGGCATTTGAAGAGAATAAAGCAATTGGCCTTTAAAGAGAAGTTGTTAGATGAGGCTACTTGGTCATATGTAGGTAATGTAAATACTATGTGGATGCCATTGCCAGCTGCATTAGAAAAGTGGCAAAGGAGGTACTAGGGGAATCTAGAGGTAAAGGCCTCCCTGAGAAAGAAACCTGGTGGTGGAGTGAGGAAGTTCAAAAGGCTATTAGGACTAATAGGGATTTATATAGAGATTTACCAAACCGTAAGGATGTTGAAACTTTTAATAAGTACAAAGAAACGAAGAAAGAAGTTAAGCGAGCAGTTGGTAAGGCTCGTTCTACTTACTTAGATGAGGTATATAGGAAACTTAGGACTAGAGAATGAGAGAAATATATATATATAAACTAGCTAAGATAAGAGAAGGGAAGTGTCAGGACCTAAATCAAGTGATGTGTGTTAAGGATGATACATATCAGGTTCTGACAAGAGATAAAGACATTAGGAAAATGTGGAGGAGTTACTTTGAGAAGCTTTATAATGATGATAATGTGATAGAGTTTGACAATCTTAGGTCACAAGGAGAACCTAATGTGATGTATACAAGAGAAATCAGAATCTCGGAAGTTAAAACTGCACTACGGAAGATGAAAAAGAGGAAGGCATGTAGGCCAGATGATATTCCAATAGAGGTTTTAATGGGGTTAGGAGATGTTGAAATTGTGTGGCTCACTAAGCTTTCTAATGAGATACTAAAGAAGAAGCATACGCCTGATGCATGGAGGAAAAGTATTCTTGTCCTCATCTTCAAAAATAAAGGAGATGTGCTGAATTGTAACAATTATAGGGGCATAAAGTTAATAAGCTACATTGTGAAACTTTGGGAGAGAGTTATCGAAAGGAGATTAAGGGCCACAACTATCATCTCAGGTAACCAACTTGGCTTCATGCCAGGCAGATCAATCACGAAAGCCATTTTTCTTCTTAGGATGCTGATGGAAAGGTATAGAGAAGTCAAGACAGACCTACATATGGTCTTTATAGATTTAGAAAAGGCATATGATAGGGTGCCGAAGGAAGTTTTATGGTGAGTGCTAGAAAAGAGAGGAGTGCATGCATGTGAGGTATATTAAGGTAATTAAGGACATGGACGATGGGGTGGTAACGAGTGTGAGAACTACTGGTGGCTACAAGACAGAGCTCCCCATTCGGATCGGCCTTCATCAAGGATCTGCTCTTAGTCCTTATCTTTTCACCATCGTGATGGATGAGCTGACAAGAGAAATCCAAGATAAAGTTCCGTGGTGTATGCTTTTTGCGGATGATATAGTTTTAGTTGATGAACATAGGGAATGAGTTAACCGTAAGTTAGAATTGTGGAGAAAAACTCTTGAGATGAAAAGATTTAAGTTAAGTAGGACAAAAACTGAATACATGCACTGTAAGTTTAGTAACTCAATTAATCAGAGTGATGGAATTTCTTTAGATGGTGTGGAGATTGGGGCTTTTAGGAAGTTTAGGTACCTTGGGTCTATAGTGCAGTACAAAGGAGATATAGAAGAAGATATTCAACATAGGTTTAAGGCATGGTGGGTTAAGTAGAAGAATGCTACGGGAGTTTTATGTATTGGCAAGATGTCTATTAAGTTGAAAGGAAACTTCTATAAGATTGTAATCTGCCCAGCTATGTTATATAGTAGTGAATGTTGGGCCATTAAGAGACAACATATATCTAAGATAAGTGTGGCAGAAATGCGTATGTTAAGATGGATGAGTGGCCATACGAGAATGAATCGCATAAGAAATGAAGTTATTCATAGTAAAGTAGATGTAGCACCAATAGAAGATAAGGTGTACGAAGGCTGCTTGAGGTAGTTCAGGCATGTCCAACGTAGACCGCTAGAAGCACAAGTTCGTGCTTGAGAGGATATTCTTATACCTAATACTAGGAGAGGGAGGGGTAGACCAAGAATTACGTGGACCGAAGTCGTTAGGAAAGACATTCTAGATCTAGGCCTTCAGGAAAGTTTAATTTCGAACAGAGCCGTGTGGAAAAGTGAAATTCATATAGCCGACCCCAATTAAGTTGGGATTAAGGCTTGTTGTTGTTGTAATTAATCATCTAAATTAGGATAACTAATTAGTAATTAGATTTTGTTAATCACTCTATTCTTTCACGCTAAAAGTTGAGACATGATTACTCTACGTTATTAACACATAAAATTAGATTTAGCATTGCATTGCATATTATAAAAAACAGAAATCAACTTAGGATATAGATTGAAAAATGAAAAGCAATAGGCATAACACAAGAATCAAATTATTAGCATGAAAAAAAAAAATATCTTAGTTTCATTTAATTATTTGCATTGATATGAATTCGTCCATGGCACTAGTAAGAAAGAAAGAAAAAAAATAAGAGGAAGTGATCAAGGAGATACGAGAGGTGTGAAAGTAAACTATGACATTTTTTCAATTTTTTACTTTTTACTTTTCTATTCACAAATTTGTTAGTAGAATTAAGGGTAAAATCGTAATTAACTTTTACTATTAGGATTTGAGAGTGCCAATCCGGTAAGGGGTAGAGGGAGTGCCAATCACATTCCTCAACCCTAAATTGGTATGAGACTGATAAGAAACGAAGAAACGTTAGTGATTAGTTGCTGACGTGGATATGGGTTACTGTGGAATCTTGTTGAGAAAGCTTAAAGCAGTCTTGCAGAGGAAGCTTCTTTAGTAATAACTGGAATTGGTTAGTTTGTTAAATTTGTTAGTGTGTTAGTAGGGGAGCTTATAAATAAGTTGGGGCTCGAGAGTTAAGGGCTTTTTGGTTATATAGAGTCATGAGAGGAGAGTCGGTGATCTCTCGAATATCACCTGTGTAGTGTATCTTTTTCTTCGTTA